GATAACAAGCGTTGATTGGCAGAGAAATGAGTGCGATCTATTGTACATGTTATGCATAGTCATCGGAAAATTCCATATTCACTGTAGTTGTTCGTTATGTATAGAAATGGTTATTATTATTATAGCTAATAATGAATATATCGACAAATGACTGGCACCATTTGTATTTCTGTACTTAAGTTTGGGATATCAAGTATTACGGGGTTATCCAAATTACCGGTAAATGCGCTAATTTCTTGAGTCATCTTCATTTGACACGTGGCCTATTTAAACAAAGGCAGCTTAAGTTGATCTACGGCATGATACAGAATTTTAAGTTCACTCTAAAATATTCCAATCACAAATGTCTACTATATAACAATGAAAGACGATAATTCGGTGATTATGATTAGGCCAGTCACGTGGTAATTGGACCGTCAATAGACGCTTGTCCAGTTGCCGTGTGTATTGATAGTGCTATATTGTACAGACAGTGAGATATTGTATAGATAATGTATATCCTATGTGTAGTGCCTGTGACGTCACCAGCCAATCAACCGGATTACGGTCGTAATTGAAAAATCGAAAAGCGTTTTGGCGTGTCGGATACTTAAACGTTAACAGCGGACTTAATTTTAATCAGATTGGTGTGAACTTGCCGTAAAGTTGATATAGTAACCATGGGCTATACATACATGCAATTTAGATTTTTGATCTTACGTGGTCTTTAAGTTCTCCTGAAATATAAACTTATTGTATAGAGATTAAAGAAACCAGCCTGATGCAAGAAACTCAATTCAAACATTGAAATTAACAGTTTCTTGCCCTTTATTTCAACAAGCATTCAGACGTTGGTCTGTTCTTCGATGACTTAATAGATGCTTTGAAGTCGTGTTTTTGAACATTTTTCGAGAAACATGATAGAATTGTTCAGCTAGTACAAGCGGTTCTAAACCTTGCAGTTATAAATATTTGCAACACTTGCAGTCAGCTTTCTTCAACTCATCTGGATTTCTGTGTATTTTGTTTGAAAGTGATCAATAGTTTTCAGATCTCTTTCAACAAGTCCTTTTCATGTTAGAAATTGTAAGTATAACATCTGGTTTGGTGTAAACTATGCCTCCCAGAAAAATACCCTATTTAAACAGAAGGCATGTGAAAGAACATATCTATTACAATAATATGATGCAGCTTACTAGAGTAGACAGAGAATTCTAGCTAAGATAGTTGTTTGTCGGCTGTTTTCAACATATCTTCTGGTGAGAGCACCAATGATTGAAGTTCTGATAGCAACAGTCAGAAAATAATTGATACTAAATTCATCAACACTCCAGTATTTTTTTTACCTAGTGTTGTTGGTTACTTATCTTTAAGTTTGTGATAAAGACAAGTTTATAATTTTAATTAAATTAATTTGAAATAACTTGATTTGTTGATGCGGCAGTTTTGTATAGAAAAAAGTGTTTAAACGGAGGTTACATAGAAGAATAACCGTTTTTTTTAGTCTATATTATTTGTTAAAAAGTCCAATCTACTCATGAAACAGAACATATATGCGAAAAATATGTTATTCAGATAGGCATTTTTAAGCCATAAGAGTGTAGCATTCACTTACCATATTATAAGCTAAACCAGTTTCGCTGTTCTGACAACCCCAGTCAGACATTAAGAATTATACACGCAAATATTTAAATTGAAAAGAAAGTTTTCACAATAAAAATTCTGAAAAGTTTAGTTTTTAACTAACACTTGTGTTGTAATAAACCACTTTTGAAATTGTATAGTAACCAAGTAAATCTACAAGTGAGCTTTAGATATCTACAATTTTATCAGAATTGAGATATTTGGATGTCCAGGAAAACAAAAAAACATTGGCTAGAAATACAATATTGTTCAGACTTTGAATTAAAAAAAAAACCAGATTGTTGATAACATATCATCACCATAATATCTGTATCTTACATACTGAAATTTGTATATCCACTCCAAAAAAACTCTCTCCCAAATGATATAGAGTGTCAGTTTAGAATTCAAAGTTGAAATCTATAATTTGTAAATGAAAGATTCTTCAAGATATCAGAAAGGAGAACGTCAAATTTTAAACATCATGTGATTAGATTTTATATACATTTTTACTGATAATAAATTGATGATTTTGAAAATGTGTGATTTTCACAACTTCTGTGCGATACTGTTCATAAGTTACTCTGGTGGCTTTTTGCCAATATCTTTTCATTTTGACATCCACAATTCTAATGTTTTTCAATAGTTCATACATAAAACTGTCAAAGTTTTTGTTGAATAAGACTAATTTTCAAAATTTGTGTGCCATATCAGTTTTATCAGAGGCGTTCATTGGCATCCCACCTAATGCCACCACTTCAGTTTTATCAGAGATGTTGGTTGGTATCCCACCTCATGCCATCACATCAGTTTTATCAGAGGCGTTCATTGGCATCCCACCTAATGCCACCACATCAGTTTTATCAGAGATGTTGGTTGGTATCCCACCTCATGCCATCACAATCAATTTAATCAGTGGAGTTGGTTGGTATCCCACCTCATGTCACCATATCAGTTTTATTGAAGGAGTTGGTTGGTATCTATCTCACCTCATGTCATCACATCAGGTTTTTTTCAGAGGAGTTTGTTGGTATCCCATCTCATGTCACCACATCAGTTTTATTGAAGGAGTTGGTTGGTATCTCACCTCATGTCACCACATCAGTTTTATCAGAGGAGTTGGTTGGTATCCCACCTCATGTCACCATATCAGTTTTATTGAAGGAGTTGGTTGGTATCTCACCTCATGTCATGACATCAGTTTTTTTCAGAGGAGTTTGTTGGTATCCCACCTCATGACACCATATCAGTTTTATAAGAGGAGTTGGTTGGTATCTCACTCCCTGCCATCGTATCATTTTCATCAGTGATTGGTATCTCATCCATGCCATCACATCATCACTTGACATAAAAAAAATATTTATATTGCTAGAACTAAATAAATGTAAAGTTTATAAGATAAAATTTTTGATAGCAGTATAGGCCATAGTGTAGTCTGTCATCCTGAAAGCCCTGATATACCAGAATGAAAGTCGAATTATACAGACCATATAAATCAACAATACTCTTATTAAAGGAGCTAAATCGCTAATATTTGGGACCTAGTAATTGACACAAATGGGTCCCAACGCATATAATAATGTAATATAAATGTATATAAACTAATTTACATTCAATCGTTTCCGTTTTTATTCTAATTTCAAATCAGTTGTGTTCGGTAAAATACGTCAGAAGTCTCAATCAAATGAAAATCTCTTGCATCTGGTTATTCCAGTCTACACCGATAGTATTTATTGAGCATGCTCTCCAGATAAGAATATGGCGTTGCCGTTTCACATGACTTGTGGAATATGTCTAGCCTCGTTCTTGAAGTCCCTTGTTACAAATGGTGCTGAAACGCATTATGGTACACGATTTGTGTACCAATGGTAAAATGTTTATTTTGTCTTAAATACCAAATATCAGAAGCCCATCTTTCCCCAGTAAAATCACAACATCAATGTTTTTAAATTGACAAATAATTCATGTTTTCAATGTCGAAGACTTTGGATGATACTTTAAAAGGCATATTGGTCCAAATATTTTTCAAATCTATTAAATCAAACGTAAGATTAAAGATTCAATTGGTTCCTATTCATTTGATACCACCATGTTTACATGTCGTAGATAAATAAAATTATAATAATTCTATTTTTTTCGTACAAGTCAGTTGTTGTACATGAATGTTTTTCTATATTTTTAATACATGGATGTGCTTAATTTATTAGCCCCCTACTAGTCTCTGATTATAAGATACACTACATAGACATCACCTACTAGTCTCTGATTATAAGATACACTACATAGACATCTCATTATTTGACATGTTAAAGAGTATGCTGTCATTGTCAAAGTTTGAATTATAGTAATGTCCAAAATTATAACCCCAAAATGTGTTATTCAATTATGTTTGTAAGAAAGTACATGTATGGTCACATTTTTATATGTCCATGAATGTGGACGTATATTGCCGTCGCCCCTGTGTGTGTGTCGTCCACAGGTCTCAATTCTTACCAGATCCTTTTGAGGCTTTGCATACTTATTCCTTATACCCTAAGGATGATCTCGATAGTTTTTGGTACATCCCCGACCCCCAGGAGGTGAGCCACACCCATCTTTCTTTGTGTGTCTGTGTGCTACCTACAGGCCACAATTCTTAATGGATTGTCATGGAAGTTTGCATTTATATACCTTATACCATAGGATAGGCATAGCAACTTTATTTTGGTATATGTCCCGACACCTAGGGGTGGTGTCACACCCAATTTTTTCTTAATTGTTTGTCTGCAAATACTCTAAAGGTTGCAATTATGAACATATTTTGTTAAAATTAAGCATATCTATCATTTAAATAACAGGGTTGTACCTATTTATATTGTTCCATATCCAACCTCCGAGGTCAGAGCCACGCCCAATTTTTGTGTTTATCGTCTACAGGCTAGATCATCTTGGAACTTAACATATTTATTCCTTATACTGAAAGGACAGCAACTATTTATTTTGGTGCACGCCCAGACCCCCTGGGGTAGTGTCACACCTACTTTTTTGTTGATAATTAGTCTGTAAAATTTGGTAAAACAAACACAACACCTAGCCTTCTTTGCCTCTTGTCATATTACTGTCGTTGCAGCCATTTCATATTTCATTTTCTTCATTTTAAAAAATTCCATATCAATCAAAGCAGGAATGTGGACATATATTGCAGTGTTGCTCTTGTTTAAAATGTCCTGAAACATGCCATAGACGGTTATACTTAAGCTTACATCTGAATCTAATTTTATAGAGATAATTAAATTATCTATCTACATGTCTCTCAATCTCTCTTCAGATTACATGTATGTAGACTATCCTATTTCTTATCATATTGAAATTGTTGTGTTATTATTAAATTAAATATAGTTTCATTGTATATATTTCAGACGTCTGGCGTTGATATGTGTGGTGGATCTATTTTAGCAGATAATTATACTTCTATAGAAGGAAATAAACCAATCAAATCATCACCGTTATATATATTTACCAATCATGAAAGACCAAGTTCTCTTATAGCACGTAAAGAAGGCCAACACCAAATAATTTACATTGGAACGCAGACTGCAACTTTGACAAAGGTACATCAGTTTAGACAAAATTAAGAAGTTATTTCCTCGAATTTTAAACTTTTGCTGGCATCTGATATAATGTGATAGCCATATGTACTACAGTCAGTTTAATGTTCGGTAGACAATTGTCAGTAAATTTTCTCAAAACCGTTTAAAGATTTTCAACTGGGATTCCATGCTAAGAAAACCCCAGATTGTTCCAGATTTGAGACTAAAATATAGACTTTCAGATCATACACAATAAAAAGAAGCTCTACCAAAAAGCTTATGATCGAAAAACTCTATATACAGCGATCATTTTTAACATAAGTTATGGACATCTAAAGATTTCATTACATTCTATTGATTTCATGCTGTTTTAGATATATACATCATGAAAATCAAGGTTATTATGACATCCTTTTCACTTATATTTTTCATAACAATTTGTGAATACTCATCTTCTCTGTAATAAAATACTGTTTAAACCTAGGGTTTACTTTAAATCATCTAAATCAATTTAAGTCCTTTATAAAATTATTGAAAACTGGTCTTGTGGTGAAAACCAGGTCTTCTGAATCTTTCAGAGAAGGATTTGAAAGCACAGATCTAAATGCTTATTAATTCCTGTACCCTCTGCTAGATACAATCTGATTAAAACACAGATCCTGGAAGAGTTTTTATATAACCCACATTCTGGATAATGTGAGGGATTAGCCAATGAAACAGTCTGTTATGGAGAGGTTTTGGCATGAGGTGCACGGTACTGTGGGTAACCCACTAGAAACATCAATGCTGATTGGTTAATCAAATGTCTGATGTCATAGGTTCAAAAGCCATTTGTATGACCTCTGACGTGACCTTCCACTACAACTGGTCAGATCTTCATGTAGTAGAGGCCATCGAAAGTATAAAAAAACAAATTAGATAGGTCTGTATTTTAATCAGATTGTGCTATATTTTCTTGTATAAAATATTCTAGAATCTAGCAAAAAGAGTTATATGAGATGAAAAAATTAAATTGAATTTGAATGAAGTATTTTGTTTATTACAGCTACTTGTAGAAAATAACAAGGCACAGATACTAGATCAAATAGTTGTTAGTGTTGGTGATATGATATTACAAATGGCTGAAAGTAAAAAAGCAGACGAACTTTATGTTCTAACTATGAATAAGGTAAACATTTAATTTGAAGTACAGTAGACTAGATTAAAATTGGTACAGGTAATTTAAATAACCCCTCTCCTGTTACCTGTGGCACCACAGACCTTACAGACACAGAACTAACCTTTGAGGGTCACAGTTTTGTATTTGAGAAAAATAATCAAATATCGATGTGTTACTTGTTGTAGTTTAAAATTTTGTGAAATTCGGGCGTGAGGTGCAAGTAGTTGGAGCAAAATACAGACCATAAGTATAAAATTGGTGACAGGTGTATGTTGTCTGGTTTGGCAACTTATCTAAAAATACAACTGAGTATTGAGACAGTAAATATCTTTCATTGATTCAATCCAGTGATTTTGACAAATAGTGTCATAAATTATTAGGGGGGGGGGGTTGTAATATTTGATATTGAGCCAGCCTTGGTTCCAATAATTAATTACAGTAGTTGTATATTTATCTATGGTGAAATCTGTGTATTATTGATTATGTGTGTTTATTTCCTAAGGTATCATTGGTATCAACATATCATTGTAATAAACATTTAACATGCGATAGTTGTATGAAAGATGGAGATAATACTTGTGGTTGGTGTATCCTTGGCAACAGGTAAATAATGTATTTCATTATTTCTCTTGTCTCTTTAATGGCTTATATGATAAACTTTTAATTTCTGTGGTATTTAGATACAGGAAGGTTTTAGTGTAAATCATGTTTAGCTGGTGCATTTCCAGCTGGTGACTATGTATAGACGAACAATTTGCGGGAAAGGAGAACAAAAATACTTAAAAATGGTAGTGGTCCCCGTCGTTATTTACTCCGAAACGAGCTGGTTGGTGACTTGGTTGATTGCACGTCAGTCCGCCCACAGAGGGCAGGTCTTCGCACCCCCAAGTGGGGTCAGCACACCCCCTATCTGAAAATCCTGGATCCGCCCCTGATTTAACAAATATACACATTTTGTTGGTTGCCCTCTCGAACATGATGTCCTCTTCCAACTAGGGTCATATCACCCTATTAAATTGTCACTCGCCTTTCAGAGAAAGCTGGAGGGGGGGGGGGCTATTAGAATTGATCCGTCTTTCCCTCTGTCACTCTGCTTGTTCAAACTTGTGGATTTTCATAAGGTAATGTGACTGAGGTTGATGATAAGCATTTTCTGCTTAGACAAAGGAATTCTAAGTAATTTGATATGTCGATGTTATATGGGACATAATAACTTTGATTCTATTTGAGTATTGAAACTTGTTTTATAGTTTCATTACATCAACAATACCTTGACTAATGAACATTTCCTGCTCGGGGTAAGCAGAGTGATAAGCAATTTTATTGCTCAACGATTTATGACAAAATAAATTAGCAAATGTTATTTATATATATTGAGATCTGAGGCAAGGGACATGAGCATCACTAATGGCTAGTTTAAAATGGAATAGCCCTGTCAAAGTATACACAGATTTATGGGTAGCCTTAGTACCAGGTATTAATGAAAGCTGATGGAATTACCTTCAAGATCTTATCAGTCACGCCCATTACACTGTACATAACCATATTCTCATTCTATTAAGACCCTTCCAATTACAAATGGCATTTGGAATCCTGACAAAATATTATAAGTGGAACTTTCATTTTGTGATGGTTTTGATTCAAAATTAGCTTTTAAAAGTATAGTATTTATCAGCCTATATTTTTATTCAACTCGGTGGGATTTATTCAGTCGAAATTATCAACAGATGATAAAAACAGGTGTTCACATCAAAAGATGTAAGATCATTTTTCATAAAGAACGATTCCATCAAACTTGCATCAAAATATCTACATGTATAAAAGTCAACTTTTAAATAGCTTCCTTAGAAACAGGATTTAGTATTAGATAAGTTTGTTGTAAGTAATTTACATATCTATCATGGTAGGGAACTTAGTTCACTGTCGGACTTTCTCATTAAGTTAAATATGATAATTAAGGACAGATGAAGTTTTAATAAGTACACATTACTCCCTCATGTTATAAGTTTTGATTGATGGATTGATGTATATAGGGATGGACCATGACTACCTATATTTTTACATATGGAGATAAGAAAATAATTAGATGATTTATTGCTACAGGGGTGAAGTGACAGATAGTATATAAAAAAACTATAAATATTAAATTCAGATATAATGTTATTTGACACCTTGTTGGTAGTAAAAACTGATAGATAAAAAAAATCTGGATCTGTCCATGAATTGCTAGGGTCCCGCTTCAGGATTAAGCACAAATTTTACATGGTAAAATTGTAAAAAAAATGTTAAGCTTTTAGGTCTGTTATTTTTGTTTTTTTGTTAATTTCTCTGTTTTGTTAATTTCTTTGTTGTTATGTATTTGTCAGGCAAACAACTATTTTTGTCCCAATCAATTTGATGGCAAGGCTATAATATTAACATTTTAGCATTTTGATATTTTAAGAAATAATACTTGCTCAGCAGAGGTAAAATAACAGCAGGCTAATGAAAACTTTCTTCATCTAAATTTAATACAAATATAAACTTAAAAGTGTTATTTCGTTACTGCAATTTAGAAGATTAAAAGAAAAAAAATGTTGGGTAGGTAGGACTTATCTACGATATCACCCTAGGTGGAAGTGAAAGTAAAACTCTAAAAACGAACGAACAGTAGGTAGGTAATCTCTTGACCTTGATGTTAGCAGATACATGTACGGTATTTGAAATAATGACAGTCTTTAAATCCCATGATTTTGTTTTTTTTAGTAAGAATCGTTTTAATTGTGTGTGGTCTTAAAACTCTGTTTAATTCTGACTTATGTCCCTGTAAGTGTATTTAAAGCGGCATAATTTACATGGTTAAATTAGATTGTTTACAAAATTAGAGACAGTTAAATATGCCAAGCCATGGCTGAAATAAATATAAACATGATGACTGTTAATTTACAAATACAGTAGAATCTGCATTAAGCAGCCACCCAACGGAATTTTCACAACTGACCGCTTAACGGGAGTGGCCTCTTAATAAAATCTCATTGCTTTTTGTGCTGACATAAATTAAATATTACGCTTGGATGCATTGGAAGCGGTAAATTTGTCTGTCGCTGAATCTTGCGCCGAACGAAAATTCTTTACTCAAATCTCGGACATAACTTAACGGGAGTGGCCTCTTAATAAAATCTTGGTGCTTTTTGTGCCGACATAAATTAAATATTACGCTTGAATGCATTGGAAGCGGTAAATTTGACCGTCGCTGAATCTTGCGCCGAACGAAAATTCTTTACTCAAATCTCGGACATAACTTCTGTAAACTTGTCATTTTGTACCAACCTTCGATACTACTGTGATGCATTCGATAATATTTATCCATTTTTGTGAAGAAAATCGATGAATTCATTTTTTTTTATCAAAAAAGCACATGAACAAACAAACATCGCTAATTTTATCACCTATTTACAGGGGGTGTAACTCTGTATCTAATATTATAGGAGGCGCTAAGAGAGATACTAGATGATCGTGACAAAACTCGGTACTTTTATTTTATTCAATCAGCATCAAATAATGTGTCGTTACGCGTGAAAACAATGATCAGGTTAGTCGTTTAATAAAACAAAAGATTAATTAACAGATAATCCCGGGTTGATTGTTATTTTTACATTTCTTTTCACCTGATCAGTGGGGGTCCAGTTAATTAACTACTACTCACGGGATTAGCGGGGGTGTTACAAAGAACGACAAAATGGTATCATTCAACAATGGCCGTTGAATGGGCGATGTTTTTTTGAATTTATTAGTAAAATAGTGACCGCTGGCCACGTTAGAGGAGTGACCGTTGAATAAAGAGATGAAACAACAGAATTTCTACGGGGGGAATTTATCGTGATCGCTTACAAGGAGATGTCGCTGAATAGGAGTGGTTGCTCATACAGATTCTACTGTACTACAATTTTTTAATACTACAATTTTTGATTATTAGAGTAATGTTATTCAAAATTAATTATATTTATTTTCTTGGTGAGAGTTATAATGCCTCTACCTAACTGACATTACCTGGTAAAAATCACCCCAATGTGAGTCCTAAATTAAAAGACATTAGCCCTTCTGAGCTTTTATTGATTGGTGATGTTAAGATTAGATCGTATGTCACTGAGATATAAATATTTAAGCTATCAATTTACAAAGTTTTTAGTGGCTTTCATTGAGTTTTGAGAAACTGATTATATTTATTTTCTTGATAAGGTTGATAACATATCAAGACATCCTAGGCTGTCTACAGTCCATACATTATTAATACTTTCTTTCTGTTCTATTTCGTTTTTAGTCAAAATTATGTCATTGGTTGATTTTTTGTTAAGGATGCATTATTCAAGAGCTAAATCTGCCTAATGCAGATCTTTCGTTTGGCTTCAAATGTTATATATATCATTAGACATTTATTTACAAGCCAAGACCACAATCAACTCTCTAGATCTTTGGATGGTTTTGATTTAAATATGATTGGCAGTTTATTGATTTTATTTAAAAATGGATAATCAAGATGAATGGTAGCAATGACAATTGAGACTACACTTCTTCAAAACGGTTGTAACTCCGCTCAGAATGAAGTAATTGACTGAAATTTTCAACATATTCTCTTTTCATTATCTATTTTTTAACTATTAAAGCAAAAACTGTCAGCTCTTTATCTAAATCTTACACAATGCATCTTTAAAGACAGAAGGCCATCCTCTGTTGCTATACCAAATCAGCATGTCATGTCATTAGGTGATAGATGCAAGATGCAAGATGACAACTGTTATGAAAAAGTATGCTAAATGTCAGATTTCTTCTCTCTCAGTCCATTATATGAAAAAAATAACAACAAAAAAAACACAAAAAAACCAATCAAATTAGCACATTATCTGGCATTTCCATAGACTGGAGGCCATTGTAGACGTTTGTATATTCCAGAAAAAACACCCCAAAAAATTTCCACTTCACAAAAGTCTATAGAAGTCTTTTAACTTTTTTATAGTTGGACATAAAGGTCATGATGTAAGCATATAACAGTTGTATATTATCATACTACAACTACACTATATATAATAGGTATAATGTAAATATTTAATAAGACTCTCTACAGCAGACAGTTTACACTTAACTTAAATGGTACTCTAGCTCTTTGATTATGGCTAAATGATCTGCTAAAAGTCAGTTAGCAGCCATTATTTCAAGAAAAAAACCTCAAAAATTGAGTTTACAATGTTTAGAATATGAGTTACCATAGAGATTGCTGTTGTATAGTTACACCCTGGCACTGCATGCAGAATTGACTGTGTTTATTTTTAGAATTCTATGAGAAGTTTAAACTCCAACATAGTTGACTTGTCTGGTTAATATGACCTATGGTACAAAGGTTACGTAACAACTGCCAATGGCTATATCACTGAGATTCTATTCTCTTCAAATTGTCCGTTTTGGCATCCTAAAAGTTAAGCCATTGTGCATGTTTTCAATTAAAATGGGCAAATTTAAAACTGTTTAAGCCGTATTTCTATTAAAAAGTAATTTAGAAGTGGCGTGCATAATATTGCATCAAACATTATCGATTAGAGCATTTTTAGATTTAATTAATTCCCAATGAATAATTTCAGTGGTGGAAAGGTGTGACTAATGTCATCTGCATGTTGGTTAAAAAATCATTTCCAATCCAATAAAGATCTAAAGTAGGAGTTGGTTCAGGGAAGTAATATGAAAATTGATATACAATACTTATGTTCTAGATCCCCTGGGTGTAACAAGAATTGTATTTTGTCACGAAATATTGTTTTTGATTTCAGGATTGTCCCCTATCTAATGTTTTGTTTACTAAATGAGACCATGTTTGGTTTTGCAATTTCTTTGTTTTACTTTTTTTTTTATAAATGTGTGATTGATTTTACCAAGTGGATATAAACTGTCTTAAACACAGAAGTTTTAAATAATGTGTAATACCAATCCCCTACTAATAGGCCTTCAAAGAGTTACTAGTCTTCCTGATCTTTTGTATTCTTTTAAGCTATGTCATTGTGGAAAATTATGAACCAAGCAGAGTTATCAGCTCTTATAATTTGATTTCAAGTCACTTTCCACTGTGGTTGTAAAACAACTAGACATTCAAATTGGTTATTCTGGTACCACCATTAATATTGAATTGTTAGTGAAACATGGAAGTTGTATATTACCCCATGACTGTGAGGTTTAATCTACCTTCATCAAGGGGATATAATAACTTGTTTAAATCTTATTAGAGTAATATTTTGTATATAAAACAAATAGGAACATTGTATGAAGGCTGCTTACACTTCGAATTTGATCTATTGATAATATTTATATGTATTTATTTTGCAGATGTACCACAGAGCAACACTGTCAATCATCAGCTATAAGCCCTCATTGGTTACCTAAATCTGACCAATCATGTGCCTCCATTTCAAACGTTAATCCAACCATATTAAGCTATGAAAGCTTACAAAACAATGAAGTTTCAAATGAGGTAATTTATAAAATTATTTCACATTCATATAAGAGATCCCACTCTCCATCTTATTAACGTACAAACTGGTCTAATAGGAAAATAAATTTTGTGTTGGTGTAAGTCTTATTGTACAAAAGCTGAATGTATTCATTACTACAGTAACCTTTTATTCCACACTAAATTTGGGCTGCAATGGTCGTTGTAAACTTTGGCTGCAATCGCTGTTCTAAACTTTGATAGCAATCACTGTTCAAAACTTGTGAGCCATGACAGTAAGGTGGTACGTCCTTGGCCTCTTTCCTAGAATGTTCAAGGTACCAAATCTCAGAGGTGAACCATGTGGATTTTTTAAAGAGCAGTTCCAATATATCATTAAATTGTGCGTAATCATTTGAACGAGACGGATAAAATAGATCAGATCATGGACGAAGTATGCTTGACAATTAGTTGTAATTCCCCTCCTAACATTGCACATGTAAGCATATAGAAATGAAATTAACATTGAAATGGCCAATGTATTGTGTTAATGAGATGTTAATCCCTTTTCTGATGGTGACAATTCTGGATAATGAATGTGAGACATAATGCTGCACAACAATTAGATGTATTTGTGTGAGATTCTTAGGTAACTTAAGCTGTAAAAAGGTGGACACTCATTATAACTGTGAAATGACACATCCTCCTCAGACAGTAAAAATATAATATGTGCTACCTGCAGAAAAGGAGAGGTTGTCTTTATAAACTGGTAGGTACACCACTAGTCATTATGTTTTTAAGTGGCAAAATGAATCTATTCAAGATGGAATCATTTGTTGTCATTAATCAGCTTTTAATTATATTATGTGTTGGATAAGTATTTTAATTTGGAAATTATATTATCTTTACTTTGATATTGTTGATTTTAGATTCAGTTTAAATTGGGCAAGTTGAGTTTGAGTGAAGATCACAATATGGAGCTAAAATGTATGTTTGTAAATGGTATAAATAAACATGGTACAACAGCTGTTTTAAAAAATAATTATATAACATGTCCGTTACCTGATGAACAACAGTTACCAATTATACCAAAGGGTAAGGGTGAGTAGTTGTAACGCTTGATAACTAACATGCAACTATAATCAATTACTTCCCTTTCTTTCTTTTCTAGATTCATCTGTAACATAAAATGTAATGTTTTATAAGAACTTACATGTTAGTATGGCCAAACAATATGTTGTTGATGTTCGTCATGAATTTCTTATATTTATAAATAAATGTTTTCGTCGTGTACTTTTTTTTCTGGAGGCTGGTGTTCGAATCCCAGCATGGTCCGAGAAGAGTTGATGGAAACTCCACTGTCCGTGCAAAATTCACCTCCTTAATATTGCAAATGTGACTGTAGAGACAAAAATAAACCATGTACTGTATTAGTATTTAGTTAACAAAAAGATTAACCCAATTCCAATCCATTTTATTCCTTTCTTTTCTTTCTAAATGGTTTCAGGGCTGTTATTTATTTAGTTTATGTATGTAACATCTAGGCCTATATAATATATGTATATGATAGCTAAAAGAACTATTATGAATGTATAGTTATCTGTAACATTTTAGAAAATTACTTAACCCCTTAAAAAATAATTAACATGTAGAAAAAACTAATAAAGAAAATACTTGAAAATTATTTAATTGAAAAGAAGAAATGGGATAAAATCCAGACTGAATTAAATGTATCATGCTATTGTTTAATCTTTTTATTTTTGTTATTCTTTCATTTATTTATTGTATTCTATGATTTCTACTTTTAGATCATGAAGATTTTGAACTAGAGTTTCATGTAGCAGGCAAGATGATTGTAAAGAGAGATTTATCTATATTTGATTGTAGGGGTAATAACAAGTAAGTTTATAACTTCAATACCAAACCAGGATTTCAAACAATGTTAGACAATATATCTCTAGCTAAAAATATTAATTTGATTTAATGAAGAGTAAACAAGTCATATGTGAATCAGATAAAATCTTATACGCGTAAAGTCTGACCATCTACAAGTTTTGATTGGTTTCTTAACCACTTCTGGAACATGTGATACCACTTGATGCAGGATGTGGGGAGCTTGGGTATTATATAGTGGCAAGAAAATGAAGGCTATATGTATTATGTGTGAACAGAGAGAGAGAGAGATTAAGCTCTAAGACTGTAAGGTATGACTACTCTGCTTTGGAGAATGGGTTTTGTCATTAATTTCGTATATGTAATTTTCATACTATATTCAGCAGTTTGACCGAATTATGCATTATATTGTATCCTTTTATTTTTTTAAAACAGTTGTACAAGTTGTGCTAGTAGTCAGTTTAATTGTCAATGGTGTTATTCTAGTCATAGTTGTATTAAACAGACATCATCATGTCAACAGGTTAGTTCATCTATATACTCACCTCTAATATTCATTACATACTCATCATTATATACTCAACTTTATTATTCATTACATACTCATCATTATATAAATCTAGGGACAATGTTAATTACTCAACTCAGTACTACATTGATAATCATAAGAAATAAAAGAATTGCCATAAGTTAAGTTGTTTTAAAATCTTGCTGATTGTTAAACTAGCTTAATGCAAAGGTGATACAAAAAACCCAGATTTAAAAAAAAAAAACGCACTCGACCTGTCTTCGTGAAGGTTTATTTCTAAGCCAGTTAAGGCAAGGAAAGTTTTGTTTACCTAGTCATTTGGATGTGATGAAAAACCGTGACATGGACATAATGTTTTTTGGTTTTTTTACTGTATCTCTATTTTAAATGTGTATATATTACAGGGGAATGGTTTTACTACAACAGATAAATGTCCACGTCTAGAGACGTCTGCTACTGATACTGATATATTAGTACATTCTGGTGAACAGAAAACAATATCTGTACAAGTCAGGGCATTACAGGTTATTATAAAGATATATATACTAATATCATACTTTCATGTGAGTCTTGATAAGGACTTGGTATCAAGTGACATATACTGAAGTTCTGTCATAATTCTGTTAGCCCCCATTATTGATGTGGTGTGAGTAAACACAGTTAGGCATACATTTGGTCATCTACTAGGATTCAATGAAATAAATTCAGGAACATCCTATCATGTTGTATCTCTATGATATACCTGAGCTAGAAACTAAAGATTTTTCATTGTATTTCAGGCGGATCAGAAGAAGAATTTAAAGTGCCATTTTGATTTATCGGGTAAAATGCAATCTGTGTCTGCTCGAATATCATCATCTACATTAACATGTGAAACCGTACAATTAGCGTATGCTGATGATATACCATATGTATTAGCTGGTTTTAAAGTTACCTGGGGAAAAGATAATAATCCTCTAGATAATCCACAAGATATGAATGGTAGGTGGTTGCTTTAAAACACTGTAATTAAAGCCGCTCATTTGTATTTTTACGGACAATATCTAATTGTTTACAGCTTAATCCATGCTAAAATGTACCCAAATTGATTTCAGAAAGCAAAACTAAAATATTAACTATAAATAATCTCCCTGCTTGGATACAGTTGGAACCTGCCGACAATGCTGAATGTTGCCAAATTTTTTAATTTATCATTTTTGGACGGATATTCCTTTTAAGTATTCATCTTCCACAATATTATTGTTTCAAAGGAATCAGAATCCCTGAAATGACATTGACATTTTACATCATATTGAATCAATTACAGATGCTGTTGGTTAAAACATCATTTAATGAATTATATTTATTGTTTGTTTCAGTTCGTATTTATAAATGTCCGTCTATGGTAACTAATTGTGGTAAATGTTTAAGTCTAGATGTAGAATATGATTGTGGATGGTGTGAGAATACATGTACTCTACAGAAAAACTGTTCTAGATCATGGTTAGATCAATCAGAAACTTGTCCTAACCCCCAGATTTTACGGGTCAGTTCTTCCAGTCATTCTTAAGCATCATAATAATATTATCATCTCACGCCAAATGAAGTTAAGGGAATGATGTCAAAATTGACCTTTTCCCGATTCTGCTTTGCTTCGAAATAATATCTCATTAAACTGTTCAAGATGTTTGTGCCCTTTGCTAATTAGAAATTTGTCAGATTTAATATTTTTTGTTTTCATTGGAAACAGTTTGACCTAATTATTGTTTGTATTAAAATTTGTAGTTTATTCTTAGTACTGGACCTATACAAAGTGTAACTTAGATATTATTTATATTTATAGTTTAGTCCTAGTACTGGACCTATACATGGTATTGTTTATATTTATAGTTTAGTCCTAGTACTGGACCTATACAAGGTGTAACACAGATAGAAGTTAATGGTTTAAATCTGGGTAAACAATTATCAGATATAATATCAGATGTAACTGTAGCAGGTGTAGAATGTGTCGTCATGCAGGATCATTATGAACCTTCTTCTGGGTAATTATAAAATCATGTAATTTTCATTTAATGTCGAGTAAAGTTAATGACCATTAGTTGTATTCATTTCATGTATTGTGGCATTAATATACTTAGCGGTTGATAAAGAAAAAATACAAATTTTGTTAATAGGTATTTAATGACTAACATATGTGTTAATATTTCAATAATTCGTCTGTATGTAAGGGTTTTAAAAGTTGCAGGAAACTGGTGTTAGTTTGTCATGTACAAGCATGGGATCAAACACATGACTTGCCTAGACAACAGACCTTATGATAAACCTTCTAGTTTTGGAGAGGTCAAGCAGTTAATGTTATAATTTATGTTTATAGGTTTAAATGTGAAACTAAAGCTGTAAATACGGTGAAATCAGGAAATATTAAAGTTAGAGTAGATAAAAAATATACAGCAGTATCTGATACCATGTTTGAATTTGTGGTAAGTGGAATTAGTTACATCAGTCTTTTATTCTACCATTCCATTTTCTATTTATAAATTTTCATTCTGTCTCAAAATATAAGAGTTTATATTTCATTTAGGAAAAGTATATAGTCGGTCAGATGGGATCAGAAACCAAGGTCCTGTGTAATCTATTGGCTGTATTACAGTTGAAAATTGAAATAAGAGTAAGCAGTAGTACAACTGTCAAGGCAAGATTTCCCTCATAAATTACTGCTTTTCATTAGCCTAATTGCTATTGAAAAAGTAAGAGGTTAATGATTAGAATATTATAAAATGTATACAAATTATTTTATTTGTAGGATCCTCAAGTAGATGGTTTTACGCCAGTATTAGGACCAATGTCTGGTGGTACTAAAGTTATTATAACAGGTTTAAATCTAGATACTGGTAGTAGAACAGAAGTTATAGTAGGTGGGGCTACAGTACCAGTTATAAGGTATATATACATCATTCATTACAGTTCCGGAAGGTTTAAATAAGCTAGTGGTCTACAGTGTTGCACTTCCAGCTCTAGCTGGCTAGTCACCTCTGGCTTGCAGTCTTGGTTTCAATCCCTGGTGTGAGTGTATGTGGCTTGGAAATGGGGTGCTTTCTCAACCTTGTGGGTTTACTCCGGGTACTCCGGTTTCCTCCTGCAGGAAAGACCCCTGCGAGTGCACTAAGATAATAGAAAAGGAAAATATGCCAACTTGTCTGCCATAAAATCATCGGTGGTAGCAGACATTAAACACCAAGAACAACAATTACAGTTCTCAGATAGCAGTCAAAATTAAAATCGATCTTTATTCAAAATTTTAGATGGAGCCTATGTCTTCAAAGAAATAAATTAGTGAATAAACCAACATTCAAATACTTTCAAAATAAATATATAAAAGTTTATATGGAAGTAATCAACCTAATTCAGTACCTTATTTTGACCAAGATCAAAGAGGATTACCACCTGTAAGGGAATGTTTGATTATGAGTCCCTTAATTATGAATTGTCATCATTGCAATCTCCTGTAGTAAAAGCTTTGACTGGACAAATTCAAACAAAATGGTTTGTTGGATGGGCAGTAATATTCTAATTGAATATATGCAAATGATGAATACTTATAAAATGATGTTGACATCTTTAATATTTATAAGCATTATTTATGATATTGTTTGGTTACAGGTCGAATATGACAGCTTTAGAATTTAAAACACCAATGAAATCAAGTTCTGGTGAAAAAGCTAATGTTGAAGTAGATTTTGGTGGTTATAGAAAAAGAGTTGATAATAAGTTTACATATACACTAGATCCAGCTATAACTATGATAGAACCTAAACGCAGTATATTAAGGTAGGTTATATATCTATACAGTAGATCCAGTAGAGAGAGGTTACATAACTCTTCTATGGGGCTTATCTCCTTTTTTTCCTTGAATGCTCTGAGTTTGCAAAGTGGTAAATAAATTACAACAATAACCCCAAAACTTATATAACTTGCTGTAAAACAAGAAAGAAAAAAAATAGTATAGCATAGACAAAAGTTATAGAGTAAAATTAGGACAAGAATTTTAACCTTCCAAACAGAATTAATCACTTTAATTTATTGAAATGTTGCGGTGATTTCTTCTTATAGGATTCTTGTTAAATTAGTCATTATTGTCATCAGAAACTTGATGATGGCTACCCGAAAAATACCTGTATTCAATAAAAAATAAAACATAGTAATTAATAACTTTATATCATTTATTGGAAAAAAGTTCATTTATTTTGCACATAAAAACCCATTGTCTTTTTTCACTAATCAGTTACGTGCATTGGTTCTGACATGAGTTCATGTTACAAACCTAGTGATTAATTGTTTGTAATAACTTTTTTTGATGATGTTTAATTTTTATTGTTACATTCTAGTATTATGTATTTTGTTTAATTTTCTTTATTTGTAGTGGAGGAACAACAATTACTGTAATGGGAACAAATTTGAATTTAATTCAAGAGCCCAAGTTTTTTACAACATATGGTGGTCTTATTTATTCTAGTGTAAGTTATTTATATCATTGTCTATTAGCTGAGTGGTTGGAACTAGTTCCACATCTAGAATTAACAAGATTCAAATCCCAAGTGTGTGTCTGATTTAATGGGCAATCATTGTGTCTCGGTAACAGACAAACAGCCTGGGAAGGAACAGTGTCTAGTCGCTTGGATCTGATGAAAAGCCAATGTCCTGTGTATACCCTCTACAGTTGAAATTCAACTAAGAGTAGGTAGCACAGAGATGTAGAACATTAAAGTTATTTAATTTCTTCCTAGAACACCTGTTACCACACCTTAATAATGTTTTTTGTTATTTTCAGGCATGTCTTCAACAGAATGAGTATATGTTATATTGTAGTGTACCAGGTATAAATGCTGCAGGTGTTAATGTAACTGATACTAATCCACTAGAAGTACATTATGGTTTTGATATGGATAATGTTAAATCTTTACGAAATATCTCTCATAATTTTGCTTTTGGACCAATGTTATATTTTCCTGATCCAAGTATTTATAAATTTGGAGGAGAGGATGCCACCAAGAAATATATCCAAGATGATTTGTTAGCTATACCGGTAAGAAGATATTTCTAAAAAAAAAAAGGATTTTCCAATGTAGATTCACTTTATTTTTATTATTTGGGCTTGTGATATTTATGTGGTTTGGGAACAAGACATATAGCTAAATCTGTAGTCCTGTTTTTATAGTTATCCTGATGTGTGCTGAGATTGTGCCTAGGATGCGAGACTATAAAGAATGTGAACAGGGTGCAAGGAGAAGTGTCAGTAGTTATGATCAGTCTATTGGTTGGATAGTTTAATGTATAAATAATGTTTGATCATTCTGGTTCTGTATACTATATGTTGTTATATTACAGGGCAAGTTCCGTAGTGTTAACCCTCTGATGTCCAATGTAATAGTGTATGTAGGATCTGATAAATGTGAGAATGCAGCATCAACTGATTCAGCTATAACATGTGAACCACCAGAGAAACCTTCTGGTATTAATAGTAATGGAAAAGCTGTAGTGGAGGTAAAATTATCAATTTATCACTCTAAATCTGTGGTCATTCTCTGTACAGATTTTAATTCTCTAGTAAATCAAGGGAGATAACATTTATTAAACCCTTTCATTCAGACATTATAAAATATGGTCTTATTTTTACCCATTCCCTGTTTAGAAAATACATGCTACCACATTCAGAGGTAAATAAATACCAACTACAGTGTTATAGAAAAATGGTCAACATTTGCACTATACATGTTACATGGTATCGGGTTTTAAAGTGCTCTAAATCTGCATAACTATACTTTACACATTTTTTTTATTTATTGTATGGCCTCAGAGCCTTAAGCGGGTGACATCTCATTATCAAAATTGCTGTAATTAGGTCTATGGACCCATAGCTTGTATTATTATGATGCGTATTAATATCTTTTCTATTCTATTACAATGATGTATATTGTTTATTGTAATTACATAAATAATTTGATCTTTTTTATTTTTCATTGTAATCACATAATTTAATTTTTTATTGTAATTACATAGATAAGTTGATATTTTTATTGTATTTTCTAGTTACGTATAGGTAAGTTGATATTTTTATTGTATTTTCTAGTTACGTATTGGTATTTTGATATTTTTATTGTATTTTTCTAGTTACGTATTGGTAATTTGAAGTCTGATGTAGGATATTTACAGTATTATGAAGTAGATAATACAGAGAAACCTATAGCATTAGGTATTATATTAGGTGTTGTTCTACCTATTATAGCTATTATAGCATTACTAGCATTCTGTGTTATTAAAAAACATCGTAAACATGGTCCTAGTGAGAACTATATACCAGATGTATTAAAGGATTATGAAGGACAGAAAGAAGATGTAGAAATTGGTTTAAATCATGTTTCTGTTAAAGCTGATATGAATGGACTTACTGATGAGAAAGGTATTTACAATTTATTGAAGAAAATTTCTAAATTCTTCTTACATAAATGAATAATGTGGATATTAATTATTGGTTCCATCATCTATCCACAATTTCTTATGAATACTCATGAGATCTTCACAGAAGATTTTCATATTTGTAAGGATTGTTGATTTGGTTATAAGGACAATTACTGTTTTATTTTTTTTATTTTATGTGTTTTTTATATTCAGATTGTGCACCACATATTGCTGAGTTATTGAGTAAATTTGAAGATAATGCAGTTCGTCAGAATATATCTTCATTACTTGTACCACGTAGCAAATTAGATATTGGTGAACTTATTGGCAAAGGTATTTAAATTTAGTTATACAGTTATATCCAAGATAATTAGCTAAATTCTATTTATGAGTTGTATTGAATTTTGGGTGGTTTCCAAGGCGTTTTACAAACAATGATCTACAATACTCGAAATAGGTCAGTGTTTAGGTTTTCATGAATTAGATCAGTTTACGGTTAATTCATTAGATTTTATGGGGGTGTATGTGTTTATTTAAAGAGTTATATCTGTTTTAGTTTGAATATTCAACTATAATGTATTGTTCTTCAGAATGTAATACTATGTATAAATATATTTTTACTATCAGGTAATTTTGGTGCTGTATATAAAGCACAATATCAGAGAACTACAGAAGAAAAACAGGTACAAGTTGCTGTTAAAACATTACAAGGTAAATAATATATTAATATACTGCTTTTAACATTATATCATTCCATTGACTGTTTGGATTACTTATAATCAATATATTAATATCATTTTACGGCCTAGAATGAGAAATATGTATAAATATTTAGACAAGATCATTTCCATTACAAAAGGTGGCATATGCTGGCAGTATTGCAACTGAAAACCGTATTGTGATATATTGGCGTATTGTGATATATAGGAGTATTGTATTGGAGTATAATGATATATTGGAGTATTGTGATATTTTAGAGTATTGTGATATATTGATGTATTTTGTAATATTTTGGAAGTAATGTGATTTCTTAGTCTAAAAGATATTCAGAAATGAACAAAATTATGGAAAACAAAATTTAGATCTGTATATTGATAACATTGAATAAATAAGCAAACAAAAAGGATTTGTTATAAAGTTACTTGCATTCAGATTATTTCATATATGGATAAAGTTTATTTTCTATCTATAGGTAAAGGTACAGAAAATGAAAGATTAGAGAATTTTCTACAAGATTGTGTTATATTAAAAGATTTACAACATCCTAATATACTGACATTAGTTGGTGTATGTATAACGGCTAGTGATGATCCTATATTAATTATGCCATTTATGGCAACAGAAGATCTTAAAAGTTTCATCAGAGAACCTTCTAAGGTAAGTTGATATAGCGGTATTTGTTGTATTATTATTAATTGTTGCAAGTGTACAGAGAAAAAAAGGCTTGCTTGAAGCTAGCTATAAGCCATGTCCTAGGAATTTAGCAGCTTGGATTGCCTAACAAGATGGCTCATGATTCCATGAACCATTTTTTCTGAATCAAGTGAGATCATGATCAAGCTTGGCTGAAGTGGAAGTCCTCTTAATTTTTTAAGGTTCGAAATTTGCAGAATATGTAGTCTTGGTTACAGAGACTAATGGTTAATTGAATGTCTTACGTTCAGAAATAAAACACGTCAGTTAGGTTTATCAGGTCTTTTTTCCACTATCGGTATAAAATAGGATAATGAGGCTAATATTTATAATTTTATATTTCATATAGAAATTGACAGTATTGGAGTTATTAGATTTTGGAGTACAGATAGTAAAAGGTATGGTGTATTTAGAAGTAGTACAAGTTGTTCACAGAAACTTAGCTGCCAGAAATTGCATGTAAGTTATGACTATAAAACTGTGAAGTTTTTTTTTCTGTTAGAAAGATAATTTTCTTATGATTTGATTTATTAATTGTCTCAGATCATTTCTATATAGTACTTTTGTGATCTCCGGATTATGCTTATATTCAGTCACATTGTTTTTAAAATGAATGTGAGAGATATATTTATATATGATTACCACATTCCTGAATGTCAATACTTACTAGAGATAAGGGATATATTTCACACCAGTTTACTACTAAACCACTTCCTCTAGGTCCACCCATGGTATTCACAGGTGGTTTATGTTATATTATATTATTACAGAGTGTTATATTTTATATGTTATAGTGTAACAGAAGATATGAAGATACAGATAACAGATTGTGGTATAACTAAAAGTCTGTTTGATAAAGATTATCTAATTGATGGACAGACAACATCTCTTATAAAATGGATGGCACCAGAAAGTATAGAAAACTTTACATTCTCTAATAAATCAGATGTGGTAAGAAGATCAAACATTATTTCATTTTAACCATGTTTCAGGAACACTATGCAGATATTAGACTTAACAGGCCAAAGCCGGTCGCACTACACTTCAACTTAGATAGACATACGAGTAGAAATGTTATGATTAAAATTATAGAGCTTTTTAAGACTGACCCAGATAACGACAAAAACGATGCCGTAAGGAAAGCCAATGAATTCAAATGGATTCATACTTTAAGAACATTCGCACCGGATGGCATTAACGATAAGATGTAGTCCCAAGGGGTCCCCCACTTTATTGTTTACTCATGTTTTAGTTCTGGTTATTGTAGTAACAAAGATTAGTGTGTCTTCCCTCCAGGTTCTTGTATTAATGAGATAATGATATGTGACCTGTGCTTGAAAAATGAGGATACAAATATACAAGTATACAAATGCAATTTATGGAGAAATATTGAATTTTCGAGAATTTAATTTAGATTTTAGCGAGTATGTATGACTGTTTAACATTCTAGAATGGTAAATGCTGGTCCTGTGAGTACTCGCTACTCAGTCATTTACGAATGCGTTGAATGCATCAAAATCTGTGAATCCTAACGGAGATATCGGAAAGGTGTATTTAGTTTAACTGATCGATCATTCCTTTGGGGACCAGCACCCGGGAAAACCTTTAGAATGAAATATTAAGATACATGTTGAACAAGTTCTTTTATATGTACTTTTACCTACTGTTAGTGGTGGGTTATTATGTTGCCTGGCAAACTATGTTGTTTATATTTTGACTCAGATATGACAGTATTCCTCTTATTTAACTTTAACTCTGTCATTTCAGTGGTCGTATGGTGTTGTATTATGGGAATTGTTAACAAGGGGAGTAACTCCCTATCCTGATGTGGTAAATTCTGATTTAGTTCAGTATTTACAGAGTGGAAAGAGAATGAAGAAACCTAAACAATGTACACAACCTATGTAAGTAATGTTATGTTAACTGATTGTGCAGACTCTTGTTCACTTTTAGCTTGCTGACAAAATCATTGACTATAAAATGTACAAGCCCACATTGAAATTGTGTTGAATTACAACATACACTGTCCTTGTTGTAGATTGTTCACATTAGGGTTCTGGAAAAGTGTACCTAGATTTATGGATGAAATTTATCCAAAACATGGCTTATTTTTGCCGATAGGTATTGCATCCAACCTCATGCTGTTGGTTCGCCCCATGATAATTCTGTCCACATTTGAGGGACTGCTCAACTAAATAGGATTGCTTCCCTTTAATATTGCTGGGTATGTTGTCAGAAATCTCGGTTTTATTTAGTTGACTAGATCTGAATCAAGTTGTCTAACATGCTGACTACCAGTAACAATTTTATTGTCATATTTAAGATTCTTGGTTGACAATACATATACCAACTATAAGTCCTTTTTCCTTCTTCAAAATTATTTCTGATTTTTTTATGCTATATTAATTGTAATGTTTAATTATTACAGATTTGAATTGATAGAGAAATGTTGGTGTGAGTCACCAGATGATAGACCAAACTTTTCTACATTAGACACACAACTACAAATATTAATTACTAGTGATGACAAATCAACAGACGACACAGAGAATAAACCACTATTAAACGCTGTTGATATTGGTGGATCTACAGAATACTTAGAAGTTATTGGCTAAAAGGTCTTTAGTAATTAATATTAGCTTATTTTATAAAAGACCCTTTAAACTATAAGAACTTATTTAGAAGCTGTTTAGAGAGTTGTTAGCATAGATTGCTATGCAAGTTGAACATTGGCTTTTATACAGTACGTCCTTTCCATCATGTTGATGTACTTGGAAATTAATGTTGATGATTTAAACTGATTTTCAAAATTTAAAAAGAAATTGATCAGGATTGAGATGTGTAATGATAGTAGATTATAAATGTTCAAGACGATTTACATACATTTAAAAATCAACCAATATATTTTGACTGATGTGTTATATTTTGTTTTTACTGATGTGTTACATTTTATTTTTACTGATGTGTTACATTTTATTTTTACTGATGTGTTACACTGATTAGAATGAAATGGGCTAGATGTGTCAGATGCTATATATCCAAGTTAGAATACAGTGGTTATTGCCAAATATATAAACATTTGTATGATCACAGTGAACAGTGTATTGGTGCTTTAAATGGTTTTATTTTTTAGAACTTTTTATATAATTTAGGATTTATTTTATTTTGTTTTATACATTTAGATCTGATTTTATAGTTTATTTGTTTCTATTAGATTTAGATTGCTACCTCTTTGTTTCTTTCATTTTTTTTTTTTTTTTCTCATCATATGTCATGTTTTCTGATATTTTAAATTGGTGTTCAGTTTATACCCTCCATTTGATGTGCTCGTGATTGTTGTTACAATAATCAAAGGAATATGTCTGTAGTAAAAGTCGGATAGTTCCGATGAACTCTTATTTTTACATTATGACATTCAGCAATGCAGAATCTCATTTAAGTGACAGATCATAGTAATTTTATAACTTTAGATTTGAAGGTTGCGGGATTTGAATCTATGTTTAAGATAACATGCTTCCACCCCCACAATTGCTTTTAAAACAAAAGCAGTTGTAGAGCAATATTGTAAGGGTGTGCTTGATATTTCTAGAACACCTGATACCACATCACACTTTTCTTGTATTGTGTATTTGACATGCTGATTAAAGACATTGTATGAAACTGTCACTTTAAGTTTTTTGTATAGTATTGATATTTGTGCCATAATAATAACATTGTAAGTATACCATGTAAATAATTGTATAACTTTATCAGCATAAGTTTAATGTTTGTTACATATTGTCATCTTTATATTATTTTTTATGCATCTAAAGGGAAAGTGCTGCATATTCCCTCTTAGATCTGTCTACATTCTCACTGGACTACAATCCAAAGTATAGATGATCAAATTGGTAAACTTTAATTTCTTATCTAAGATAGTTTTTATGTCCGACTTGTCTACTTTTATACCTATTAGTTTTATATTCATTTCAGCAATGATTTAGAATACTTATATTGTAATGCTTACTGGAACTTGCCATACCTCCGTCCATAATTTTGTTGTCATTTTTTAAAATCTGAATTTGTCCAATCGAATTAGATATCTTTAAATTTTTAAACATTTTTAGTACATACAATTGATACATCATTTGGATTAAGCATTGTAAGATTTAAAATTGAATGTAGTAATGTAGACTATTTGAAGGGGTATGTATTACATGTAAATAGAGTACAGAGCATATCTGTTGCAGGTAATGTAAAAGTGACTTAATATAAGGCTCCATTATTGCATGGATTTTGCATAAAGCAAATTACATAGAGTTTTAGAAGCAAGTCAGTTGATTATATAAAGTTAATTTTTGATCAGAACCTTTGTTTTAATCAGAGTAACTGAGAGAATTAGTTTCGGAAGTTAACTTAATGAAATTGTTTGCTGAAAGTTATTTTTGCAATGGACAGTGTATAATGTACTTGTAGATAATATTTTGCTCAATAATTATAAATATTATAAGAATGTTGTGTTATAATTGTGATGTTTATATATCAACTATAGTGAGTAGTTTATTGTGTAAAACTGTATTATATTGTGTCATTTTTTATTATATTAGAATTTGTGATAAACCTTTATACTTAATATATGCATAATAAACTGTTGTATGTGTTGCTTTGAAGTTCATCCTGCAGATTTCATTGTTTTTAAACATGACTCATCAACCAGTACTTATGTTTTATATTTTAAACAACTTACTTTTTAATACCAAACAATTGTTTTCAATTTTATAAATAGCAGTTGTACTGCTTTTAACAATGTAATTATTAGTAAGATATTTTTGGAATATTTGTTTCATTTGTAAATCAAACTTATTCATGATTCTACAGAAGGGGGTTAATGCTATATTCATATGAATTGATTGTATCAAAATTTAAAATTCTTGTCAACCGATCCCTATGGCACCCTATGGCACCGGTATTGTCAGGAATTATTCTCTTATTTTTTGTATGAATTTTTTCATTTGAATCTGCTGATTTTCACAAATATTTTTTCTGGTCAAAACTAATGATATTGTTGATTTTTCTTACCATTATATATGACTATGTTGTAATATAATTTTGTGCAATGAAGAATTATACAGTTACCTCTCCTTAAGCCATAATTTTCAGTAATAATAATCCCCCCACCCCCGCCAGTAATTGAGATAAAATCTTGGTGCTAAAACTGACCAGTTTAAACTGTACAGATATCATTCACCAAGCTTACATAATGTACTACTTATTTATTATCTTTTACATTTATCTGCTTTTAATGAAATAAAAATGGAGCTTTTATGATTATCATTCTTTTTTCTGTTGGGCTATAATTCAAAACATCGCGCAAGGCATATTTTCAATAGTTTTGATAAGGTACCTTTATTGCATTTGCAGACTCGTACACCACAGTAAATATATAATTGATAAAGAATTTGAGAAGTAAGATACCATAAAAAAAATTATCATTTATCCTGCATGGTAGTACAGCCATATGTACTAATGCAGTCAAGGTATAGAACATTACCAACTTGACTCTGGGAGGTTCCAAATAGCAGATTGTAGTAAATCAGACACACCCACATTGAAATGTTATTGCCATCGTCCCTGTCTCTTGTCGTCCACACTATCTTGTGGACTACCTTTATCATCTGGATGTCCCTTTTTTGATCCCTGCATCGGCTGAGAAAGTTCACCAAGATTTTTTGACATAGTTCCACCTTGTCAGTGGTACAGGACAGAGGGCCTGGCAAGAAACCAGGTATAGTCTTTTGGATGGTATGGAAAATCGAGGTCCCATGTACAGATTGGGATTCGATATAAGGGTAGGCTGTAGCGCGGCTAGTACATTGCATAGCATAGGATGTTAAACCCCATTTCATTTTAATTATCATGAGGTGGCTTGGTGAGTAAGTTGTGCAGGGGTTAATCCCAGGCTTAGTGCATCAGTGGCGGAGGACTGTCTAGAGATTCAGTGGTGACAAAAAACTGCATGGTGTATAGTCCATCATCATAAGCCCAGCTGGTGCAGAAAAGTAGGATGTTAAACCCCATGCCATTTCTTTATGACATACAAGTCTTATCAGTTATCTGATTACTTCTAGAATTATTGCTTTTAATGTCATAGATTTAAGTCCATTCACAGTTGCAGTGATGACAGACCAAAGATATGCAGGTTCGGAAAATTACAGTAATTTCCTTGCTCCTGTTACAAATCTAAGCTTTTAAGAAGTTCAACAAGTGAACAAGACACGTTTATGCTGGTCTAATGAAACTCTATGTAATACTGAACAAATGAATGGTTTACATCAGTATTTACACATGCATCAGATAATTACTGTATAAACTTGCGGACAATACAAGGGGTACTATACACATTCACTTTTAAAGATCACACAATGGAGGCCAATTTCATTACACTATTGCGGCTGTCAGTATTTTTAGTTGAAACTTTTAGACAGCTTGTTTCTATATTGGTTTGGTTTTCAGTTGCATATCTAAACCCACATGTCATTGTATTCTAACATTTGCTATGGTAGTTCAACATCTGGAGGATTGTATCTTACTAATAATAAACCAAGAATGTAAGTTTTCATATTTATAGTTTTTTTTATTCATTGTTTTTAAATGTTTTAATATACTGTATTGTATTATGACAGTATAAATGATATATTTCCATATTTTACACACAAACATGTTTGTACAATAAATTAGCTCTACATTAAAACTTCGATTGAAATGCAGACCCATGTAGGACAACAATTATATACAAAGTATTCTTCTTATTTATTATAATCAAGTTCAAATTTACTAAAACATTATAAAACAATTATACCATTCGTCATTCATTTAACAACATTCTTCTCACAAACTTATATACAATTATTCTTTACATTAATCAAAAAATCAAATATTTCTTTGTAGCCATTGCTAAATAAAAATGTAGAATTTTAAAAACAATTTTATATCAAAAAATTTAAAAAACAGATTCAAAAGGTTTCTATTTACACTTGAAACGGAAAACCTGGTTTTGACAATTTTAAAATCTTTATAGACACTGCTAAATAAAATAAATACAGAATTTGGTGTGGATTTTTTTTCTGAAACAACCTTCATATTAAATAACTTATAAAAACGATTCAATAAGGTTTCTACATACATTCAGTATAAAATCATTCATTCAATACATTCAAACAGTAAGATAGAACTTGATTATAATAAAATATACTCTATTTAATAAATCTTTAACAAAAACACTTTATACAGGCTCTTGTCTATAATAATGCCCTACTTATATCGCAGTCCTGGCAGACAGAAAACTCATTCTTGTATCATAAACACAAACATTGGATTATTAAAATAATTTAGACTAAAGAAATGATATTTACTACTGGCATACTGTCGATAAACAATTTGCAAACTGTCCAATAAACAATTTGATGCAACAGAGATTTCATACGACAAGGCTGCTAAAATAAATTCTTGCATAGATATATTTGGTCCACAGCTAATTTAAATTCCTGAGAATACAAAAATAAGTACTACTATCAAGTTAATGTATCTATACAAAATTTTGATAAAAAAATCCATTTGCAATGATTAATATTTATAAAAGCTAGTTGGAAGATATTGTAACAGTATGCCATATCTATAAATCCAATGTGTATCTAGTAATGAAAACAGAACATTTTTGGTAACTGCATAATAAGTAGACTTGTGCAGTATTCGTTTTCAAAATTACAGAGTGCCATGTAACGCAATATGAAATGGATTTCATTATTTTTGATATAAATAAATCTATTTTTACAATACATTGTACATGGATTTCAATGATCACCATCAGAAATAAGATGCCCTATCAATTTAACTCTAATGAATGCCACAGAAAACTGCCATTGTCGTATTTGTAAAATGGAAGCAAATAAAAGATTTTTATATTCTAGTGAGTTTAACATATATATGCTAACAAACTGCCATTTCTCTTTCCACTCATTCTCACAAATATTTCACATTATATACAAACAGAAAGCACTTATTTCATGATAGAGTAATAAAAAGTATGAAAACAAGAAATGAAAAAACTTTTCTAGTCCAATTTGTTCATCTGGAATTACACCCCATTTAATACAAAATGATAATTTATAATGATTGTTTCATTATGATAACTATTGTTCCCATTTAAAACAATAAGATTATGTAAATAAAAATAGCACTTTTAGAGATGAGGGCAAGGGATAAGAAAGATTTATATAATGCTAATCTGGGGTTTGTTTAGATGGAATAAGAGTTTATTTAATGAAATGAGGTAATTGGTTTTATATGGGGTGGGGGTGGGGGTTGGGGTTTTTACACTATAACCTGTAACTATGAAAACTGAAACCAGTTAACACAATTAACTGGTTTGTGTTACATACATGTTCAAAGTAGCACTTGCACTAAAATAATTGCCATTTCCATCCTAGAATGACAATTTTTTATTTTTAATATAAAAATACCCGTCTATACTGTAATATAGTTCCTTTATTGGCTGAAAGTTTCAAGTCACTGAATAAAACTTTCTGGATTTCAACACCGTCTCACAGAGTCACTTTCTCTTATTATTTTGGCAAGAAACAGGTTCTTAATTCACTGAACAGCATCCTCGTGCATCCATCTTGTGATAAACTTCAAAGCGGATGTCAGACAAATTTCACAATCACTTTCTCCTGAGTTGTATTTTATCTCATTTAAAAGATAAAAGTCGGGGTACATGGGACAATTTATAAACACACATCACAGATAGATTTGGATTTGTTAATTACAACACGAGTTTGTGGACTTGCTGCTAAACACTGATAGATGTATTTTCTGTCCTATGTCCCGTCGGTATTGGAATGCTTATGTGGGTGGGTAGATTATTTATATGATTGGATGAAGAAAGTTGTTGTAAAGACGGTGTATTACAATATGAACTACCGGTATGTCCATTTAATAATGGCTTCTGTACACCACTATCAATAACACAATCTGAAAATATATAGAAAATTTATTTTACATTAAATATACATAATTAATTTTCATTATAAATAAACAAAATTATACAAAGAGTTGATTTAATTAAATTTGATGTGTTGATTTTTGTTATGAAGTGGATATCTGTCCACATTTCAAAATATTAAGTCTGCAGATATAGCTGATTTTGTGTTCAACAGAATACAGTGTAAGAGAAAAACCCATTAATAATTAAAACCGACTTCTTAATATTTCCAAACAAAAATTTATTCATATTGATTTTGTCCTATGACCAAATCAAAAATAACCTACCAGATAAACCCAATTCTATACTTTATTTTAACCTTTTTCAAAGAGATTTAGATCCTTTAAAGTATTCTATATTTACCTGTATAAGAAGGAGGGGTAATTTGATCACATGTATTATTAGCTGGTACTGTAGGTATACCACATGCTATAGATGTTAATTGCCTTCTACATTCACAATCTACAAATATACAATTATTATAATTTATACACAAAATATTCACTTCTAGATTCACTGTAAGACATGTTTTTCGATTGATGAGTCTAGTGCTAACTGGGTGGATCCCAACGTTGGTTGAGAAATTTCCTTAGGATTTTCCAGTTTGGCTTTACAGATCAGTGGTACAGGACGAGATGAAAAAGTGAGTGAACGGATGTTCTTGTTTGAATACATATAAAATAACCCTTGACAGCTGGAACAAGTGTAGGTAGAAACACTGCTGTCCTTGTAGAACACTGCACAGTGTATTCCCACTTTCATTAGCAGAAATTGAACTTTTAAAACGAATTCCGGTAATATAATAAGTATATAATTACCTGGTGGATGTTTTGGTGTATGTAGTTGATTGTTTTCACAAGATGGAGATATATCTGTTACACTAGGTATAGATGATACACTGTTAGTCTTATTATTATAAACACAATGTACACAATTATTATCACTAGTATGTGTATTGTCAGTATTTAATATAGGATGGAATGTCTGTAGTGAATGAGGTACACTAGTTGTACTTTGAGTACTCTGTGTACTACTGATAGTGTCTGTTTCACTATTAGGGTAATTACCACTACCTAAACTATTATCTGTAAAATAAAAATATAAATCAATTAATATATATGCAATTTATAAAACAGATAATCACACAGCTTCACTCTTAAATACTATGTCTGTAACTAGTATCAAGTCGCTTCATATAGTCTTTGTCATTTTCAGAATAATTCTGGTTATTTCAGAATGACTTGAATTCAATAGACAGACATTTAAACCAGAAAGAGGTTGAAACTATCTACTTCCAACTAATCATGTAGATGTAATACCAAGTTAACCCTAATTGAATATATATATGACGAGGTGTGTTGTATGTCTGTCAGATGTCAAGTTGTGGTAAGTGATGTCAGAGTATGTATACTTATTGTAAAACACTTTAAGTTAACTTTTGTATTTTTTCACAGTATGAGTTAAATTATTTACCTCCTGATATTCTACCAGTTCGTAGTTCACCTAGTAATCTACTTGGATCAATATCATCTTCATCAACATCACTAGGAAATATAGCTGGCTGTCTACCACAACCACGAAATCTCTCATAATTACCTTCTTTTAACTGATAATCTGTTATAAAATACAAATATATTTATTATAATCAAACAAACTTGGCTATTTATTTCTAATGCCTCTTACATGAATGTTATGATTGCTAGCAAATAACATTGGACTGTTGGCTACAACTTGTACACAAGGCAGCATAGGCATCTTCTGGAACACCCACTACCATTTATCACTTGGCCGATCTATGAGAATGATATCATATGGCAGATTCACATTTTTACTCTCTTCAAGTTAAATGGCCATAAAATGTATCTGGAACACCCAATACCATTTGCCATTTGGCTTGTCTATGAGAAAGATGTCAAATAGTAGGTTGATAATTTTTTTCTCTTCATATATTATTAAGTAGGTATAAAAACTGTTAGTTTACCTTGATAAGAGTAAGCATGTATAGGTAATGGTGTATAAGATACATCTTTCTCTGAAGATGCATAACCAGAACTAGGTAATTCAGCAGGTAATGTTGTTTCATCTGAAAAAGTTCATATATATGGATTATTGTATTATGATCAAATCATGTTTTATTTATTTTTATCTTTAAAGGAGCTAAACCTAATTGATTTAAGCCAAAATAAAGCATTGAATCGATTGGCATGATGTGTTGTTTGATGATGGCACAAATATCTACAAGATTAAATTTTTGTTTTGAAAGACAAGGCAAAAAAGATGTCTTGATTACTAATGTCAGTCGATGGCTGAACTTCTGAACCCCATATCTAAATATGGTTTTATCTATGCACCTAAAGTTCCAAAAGAAGACAACTTGCCGACTAACTGAACACATGAATACATCAAAAGCAATTAAACTCAAATTATATATTTTGAAGCACATCAAAGAGGGAGTTGCCATTTTAAGTGAATAGCTATTTAAGTTATCAATAATAAAAGACTTACCAGTAGGTGTGGCACTATACATCTCTGGTCGTTTACGTGTCTGATATATGATAATAACCCATACTAAAGATGTTCCTACAACACAGCATACTACAGCTATTATAATAATACCAGTAGTAGTTGATTCATCATCTAACTCAAAATTACTAGCTGTCATTCCTTCAGCAGATTGTACCTTTAATATAGAATTACCACGCTGTGTACCTAATGTATTAGACATTTCACATGTATATCCTCCAGCATCTGACTTCTTTGTTTCTACAATGATCAACAGTTGATCATCAGCAGTAAAGAAATGTCGTTCAGATAGTTCCAATGGTTTATTGTCTTTCATCCATGTTAGTCTTGGTTTGGGACTACCAGATGCCATACATTCTAACACAGTTGTGTCGCCTTCATGGGTGAACTTCTTATCTTCCATTTTTCGTATGAAGGAAGGTGTTTCTATGAAAATAAAAAAGTTCATTAAATTGGTTCATAATCTCAATGTTAGTTTAAATCACATTCAAATATTTTTGTTAGAATTTTTAAAGATAAATAATGTTTATATTGAATTTTTCAGGGGGATTGAAGTATAACTTTGTCATCTACAACATTCTGGAGAGTGCAATATCGTGACACACCACTAATTATAAACTTACCTAGAACAGTAAGACTGACATTAGCCACAATAGTACCAGCATCATTTTTAGCTGTACAACTGTAGATGCCTTCATCAACCCGTTTAACATTCACAATAAAGAATGTGTCATCTTTTGGCATCACATGCATTCTTCTTTCTCTAGCAGCAGGAAAATCATCACCACCATCCTTCTGCCATGCTATCTCTGGCATAGGCTGACCTTTAGCTGAACATTCTAATTTGGCAGTACGACCTGATTTCACAGTTACATCTTTTGGTTTTTTATCGAAGACAGGGAAGACTGGAAGGTAATAACAATACAGGATGACATATTTGTAACAACTAACCTTATTAGAGCGATTACAAGTTTTGATGACAAGGGCAATAATCTTAAATGCATAACTTCTGAATTTCTAAAAGTTTGTTTTTGTGACTAGTCAAATAATCACGCCAAGATTTTGATTGTTTTTATTACCGACAAAGATGACTACAAAATATGACCCCAATTGTATGTGGGCACATAAAAAGAGTGAGATTCATTAAATCCTATCATCTGTTTCATCATTCCAACTTGAACCAAAAGGATTAAGAGCAGTAATAGTGTGTAATAAGATATTCATATTAAGACTACAATAAGGAAATAATCACTGTATAAAAGGAAAATGATTAATTAGACCTACTTACCATGTACACTTATCTCAGCTCGTTTAGAATAAGCTGATCCAAACTTATTAGACATAACACAATGATATTTGCCTACAGCTGAATCTTGTACATTATATAACTTTAATACTGATGTATAGGTCTTCACATCTCCATTATTTACAGTAGCAAATAACTCTTGATCAACATTAATTAATGGCTACAAATATAAAACACAAAAATCATTAATTTAAAATACAACATAATCATTGTGTATTTTATCATATTTGGTTTTATAACAAGTTTAATGGGTTGGAGAAATGGTTAATTTCAGCTGATATATTTTCAGATTAAATAATAAACTTTATTAATAGAATTAGACTAAAACTTACAGATTTATCTTTTCTCCACATAACAATAGGATCTTTATCACCAGTAACAGTAGCAGAACAATTCAATGTAACATTATCAGATTTTAGAGCTATTTGACTCTGTGGATGTTCTCGCATTATTGGTTTAGGAAACTCCATATCATCTGAAACAAAAATATACCAATAATTATACCCAGTTCACAATGTTTAGTTGAGTTTTTAATCCAGGTTGTCAGCAAAGTTGACAAATTTAGAGATCACACCATAGGTTACTTGTAATATTTGTAGTTATGAATAATTGTACATGGAATTTTAATATAATACTTACTACATAGAAAGTCTTCTTGTGCAAGATCAAAGATACTCCTTCCCTTTAAATTTGCTGGGTGACCACATATAGCATTGATAGATGAACGAAACCCAGAACTTGTCAGCCATACTGGTAACCATGCCAACTGACAATCACACAGAAGATTGGTTGAATTAAAATGTCTGAAATTTAAGGGACAAAAATCAATTCAAAGCTTCAAACAATGCCTGATTTTTTTTAATTTAATGAAGCAAGATTTTATTATGACGCTCAAGATATCTGAGTAAAGTTTAATAATTTACTTATTCAATTCAATTCATTTTACACATGGCAAACGAAAATATAAATTACTTACAGTTCTTGTAATTCTTCCAGAGGCTGAAATGAATTTTCTTGAACGGATGTAATAGGATTGTCTTCTAGGTGGATTGTTCGTAATTTCTTTAATCCATGAAAGGCTTCACCAACAATTGTTTTAATCTGATTGGTCTTCAGGCCTAGTTTCCCCAGGTTATCTAAACCAATGAAAGCTCCACTTACATCTTCAATAGTCCATGATATCAGATTATGATTTATTTCCCTGAAAATAAGCAGCAATTTTTTATATAAACAAACAGTATTATACATAATGAGTCTGGTTCAAACTTTATAATTAATGAATTAGGTTGGGTTTACATCTAACCTAAAGCAACTGTTGCCATGTGTAAAATGTAAACAACAAGTTACTTCACTCTACTACACATACGATTCACATTTCAACTTTGACCTATGGTAAAATATTTGACACTTTCATTTAGCATCTAGCCAATATTTGGATAAGAGCTTACAATTCTTCATGTAACAGAAGTAAATCTAATTCTTTCTAAACTTTGTCTTTACAAAATCTCCCTACTTCATATTCATGGGGTCAATGGTAACCAATTAGAAAGAAATGCCAACCACTATCACTGTGAAAAAAATTTGTATTTGCCAAGATGTTCAAATATTAGTTTACTCAACAATATGGTATGCCAAGAGATGGCCAACTTCACAAATACAAAGAAAGAAACTTGTGAAAAGGTATGACACCAATTCTACAACTAGGACACTACCAAGATACATTTCATACTTTCACACATTTCTTTGATCAAATTTTACTCTACAATATTATTACATCATTTTTAAAATATAGTGATTCCCCAAAGAAACTATACTAAGACTTTTATAGAGAGTATTGACAAAAAACCTAAAACATATTGCATGTCGAAAAGATGTAAATGAAAATTCAATTTGATATTGGACCAAAGTCATTGGATACATTGATTGTATCTAAGCCCAAATTGAACCACAATTTCTGTACCTTAATCCAGACTATAAAGGGATTAAAATAGTTTCTTCATGGTACAGTATCTATTGAATATCAATATATATGCAGACAAGAAACATGTATTAAAGGTAATGTGGTATGAAAAGTTTCAGGTCAACATTTATTACTCCATATTACATAACTACATACATGTATCACACCATATCCATGTATTTACCAAAATATTGTGGAATAAAGCTTCATTATTATCATAACTATATACCAACAGCAATACCTAAATTTATGGTCTAGGGTTTCTATATCTTTAATTTGATCCTCAAAAATTCAGTTTGGATGAGTACTTCAAAACAAATATTTAAATTGTAAAATTCTTAAAACAATTCTTGTAAAATGTGAACGGTGCTGTAAACTTAAAGACATGATTGTCTGAGGCTTTCTCTCTATGGCAGATTGTCGTGAATATTTTCACTCCTTCAGGTTTTCATCACTGAGATGTGATGGGCTTAACACGTGCGTATCAGTAGAACATTCATGATATTGTTATCAATGATATGAGTTTGTTGAAATTTAAACCAATCTTACACAACTTGCATACAATACGTTTCAATTGTTCTTCCTCTTTTCTTGTTTATATATCACACTTACACACGGGCACATCTTTCAAACCAATGTCAATAATGTGCATCATAAAAACTACATTTCCTGTCCAATCGATTGAAGATCTGTATTTTTAAAAAATATTTGAAAATACTTACAATGAATTAAGAGCTGAAAGATCTTTAAAGGCACCATCATCAATTCTTGATACCATATTATGGTCTAAGTATAGATCTTGTAATCCATACAACCGAGAAAATGTTTTTTCAGCAATGGTGGTAATTTTGTTGTGAGTCAGGTCTCTGAAAAGTAAAAATAAATATTCAGTGGCTAATCTAAAGAAGATTTCACAAAAAGCTATATAACTATAAATATCAATAATGATTAATTAATAAAATATTGCAAAAAATGTATATTTGTGTACGAGTGTATAATATGCAATAAAACAAGGGAAAAATGTAAATCTGTTGGTGATGTTTCACAACTGTATTAGGAAATGTATGTTTAATAATCGTAAATCAATCATTTATGTTAAAACAGCAACCATAAAATTTAGTTTTTTGTACAAATTACCATGAAATTTTATATGATATTGCGAAATTAAATATATTATGAAATATTAAATGGGGATAAAATATTGGATAAGTAAAAACGTAAATTAAATACTTCATCAAAGGTCAATCATATAACCTCGACACTCATTTTTTGTGCTTTCTTTGATTAGTTATGGTTAAAATCGACAGATGCTAGTAAGTATAAAAATTTCACGTCCTGCCATCCTACATTCCCTGCCTATATAACACATCCTCTGATTGGCTCCACATGCCAGCACAACTTTGATTCAGCTAGTTGGCCAACTACATAAATAAACCTGACCGATCAACATGTCTGTTGGCCAGATCAAGTTGCTAAATGAGCCAGCCGTTCCATCATTTGGTAAAATTCTAGCCCTAAAGTTGCCAAATAAACTTCCTATGCTTGTCCAATAATCACATTTTCATTTTGTAATTACCCAGCTCTACTTTCAAAGCCAAACTGAAAACAGTGAGAATAAACATTGGGCTCAATTTTATGAGTGGGTATTTTATAAAATCACGACTAACAGCTGCTATGGTAAAAACACCCCATCAACATTTTCACCTACATATCCTTACACTATAATTGACAAAATCAGAACAGTACTGTAATTGAAAGAAGGAATTAAGAGATGCAGAAAAACCCTTTCCTATCGTTGAAAGTCATTAATTTGACTTTGACGAATATATGCATTAACTATTTAAAGCTCCAACAAGCCAGAATAAAGCTTAAATATAGAGTTTAAGGTCAAACATAATCATACATTGTAAGTCCTTTTATTATAAAACATTAGGGCCCCATAATTATTCAAATCAATCCTTTCTAACTTTAAGTTTACATTGGTTTCTATTGGTTTCACACTACCATCTTTTCTTCTCTTAGTCAAATATAGTTATAATAACTTTTGTAAAAGCCAGCTCATTCTTGATCATGATTTTTATACTTAGATGTGCCTTTCATAATAACAACCATCTTTACATTAAAATGGTATATATTTTTGAATATCAACTTTAGAAATCAGTGACAGTTTCTATATTTGTAAATAAATCTCTCTAAGTAGATTTTAAAAATAAACCTGAACAGGTGAATCATACATCTTTAATAATACTAGTTACAATATCAGACATCTATTCAATACTTATATTACAGTCAAGTATGTAACTATATTCAAATATCTTCAATCAATCTTAACATTCAAATTCTAAAATCAAGGGACCGTGAAAATCCTGGTCTATTTCAATTGAAAGCTTATACAATCTACTATTCTCAGTTTCAACTGTTTTTTATCAGAAGTTCTTGCAATAACGTGGCAAAAAATATGACTCAAAACACAGCCTTCAATATACTAAGCATGACATTAAAAAATCAAACTAATCATAAATCTACATATGTGAAAGGAGGGAAAAAAAATATTCAAATAATTATAGTCAACCTGCATGTATATAAATAAACCTGTATTAATAATTAATACTACTGTACATAATATATGTGATAAAGAGCTTTTTTACACTCTTAATCCCTGAAGACATTCTCTTTTCTACCCTTGTCAAGAGGTCAAAGCGAGGACCTTCATTCTTCTATTCAATATTAGTTTAAAGCTGGGCCCCCTTCTTGACACACCAGTCTCGGGTTTGGCGCCTCCATACAATAAACTTAATTCAACACTATAGCTAGCAATTCAATACTTGGCCTACTCGTCTTTTGATACAATGTGAACCAAGCAACTAGCAATTGTGACTTGTTCAATGGTAGACAAGTCGTTGCTTTTGGCAGAATACGAGTAAGAGATTGTGTTTTATTAGAAATTCTGTGTGTGCATTTCATCTTAGGCTCCGTGGATTTATTTAAAGTATATTTATTGTAACAAAAACTCTGCACCATTTATCTTCTCTCACAAAACAAATTAACTCAAAATATAAGACTTTTTACATATTACTTTTAAAAAAAAACAATACTAACTTAATAATAACTAACAATTTCTAACAAAGCTGAAAATCTAGATATGTTAATTCTATCTTAAATCAGATTAAATGTTTCAGAAATTAAGATATAAAAATTATAATTTGGAGAATAATATATTCCACTTAATTTTAAATCATTTATAAAATGTTGTATAAGCAATGAAACTATCGGATTGGGAAAGTCAAATTTTTAAATGAGAAATAAATATATTTTTAATTGAGAGTCATAAGCCTAATCAAATAACCGCTGATACGAAAATATATTCATACTATCGAAAAAAAAAAACCCTGCTTAATTGTTAAGCTTAGCACAGGGGACATTAGCACATGCTGACATTCAAATTAAGTCATTCAATTTTTTGTGGGTCTATTATACAATTTCAGTCTATAATTCCAGTTTTCCTAATCTTTAGAAAAAAACTTTTAGTTGAAAATTTAGATTTGAAGGTTGAATACCGGTAGATGACCTATTTATGCCCAAGGCAACACATCTTTAAAGATATAAATTAAAATTAAAGATGGTAGGTTTTATGCAATAAAGTATGTCATTTACCAATCAAGCATGTAGAGCATGTCATTTACCCTTGTTAGTGAAGGAAAAATATAATAACATGGCGGACTAATAATGCATATAGGAAATAGACTTTCTGAGGAGGAAATGTTAACCAAAATATCGCCTGCTGTGTCCAGAATCAGTCAACAGAGACCGCAATAAAAAAATAATAATGTCAAACACAATAGCCATCATAACAAGTGATAACAAGGCCTCAACAATTTCTTCAACACACACACAGTATTCATTAACAAAAAGGGTGGTCGTATATTGCCAAACTCAATATAACTCCATTCATTTACATATAAGCAAAAAAGAATTACTTCTCATACAAAATATTGCTACAGTAAAATGCTTCAACGGTATGAAAGCTTTTGATGACAGGAGAATATTTGAGGCGATTCATTGTCAGATTACCAATATGCATTTATCTTGGCAGGTGGCCTTATAATAAAGAATTAAGAAGACCTTGTAAGAGTGTTTTTTTAATTTTATGATTTAATGTTCAGTAGGCCATAAGATATTGGATGTTGACAGTAGACAATAAATGAATAGATAAAAGATTGTTGTTATTATCAACCATTTTAAAAGATAAAAGCTCTCAATAAATAAACACACCTTTTTTAAAAAAAAAAAAAGAAGCTAGAACTATAATTCAACCCACATAATAAATAACCTAGGTGTTTTGTGATAAATTTAACAATAACTTTAAAGCAACATATTTAAAAATTTACTACGATTTATTAATGTGTTGAGTTTCTCACCTTGTTTACAAATATTTATGAGATGTATCAAATAAATTACATGTAAAGAGCTATGTATTGTTTAAAATTACATGTCCATGTTATAAGTGTAAAATTATATTGATGTTTAATACAGTAAACAATAATAGACTGTATAAAATTAACATGTCATGTAAATAATGTGATTTAAAGCGGGTTGACTAAAATGAAAATAAATCCCTGATGTATCCTATCCTTGTCTTCAGTTGTGTGATTTATAGTAATTTTAGCCAATACATGTATGTGAGACCATATTTATCAGATAATTATATCATTGTTATGTTTTGTCATCTTCTAATTAATTATAAGCAACATTGACTGCATTAATATCATGCTCACATTAGACCATATAAAATAATATTCTGGTTCTCAAGATACCAATGGATCATTTAAAATGGATGACTAATTAAACAGATGATTCAATAAATGTACAATGTTGAAATGCCAAGTTTGTAAGAAGACAATTATTCACAGTGATCCTTTGACAAAATAAAATAAACAAAAAATAAAACCTTTCCTCTAATATCAATTTTTTTTAACAATTGTCTGAGAACCAGAGTATTTTTTATTGTATGGCCTTAATTTCTTGTTTGATAATATCAGATATCAAAAGTTAAACTTACAGTTTTTGTAGACCTTTACAGGATCCCCAGCCATCTTGTTCCAGGGATTGAATTAAGTTATTAGCCAATGATCTGGATTTAAAAAAAAAGACATAAATTAGGAAATATAAAATACCTGCTTTGTAAAGTAACCATGACAACAACATCATCAAGACACAGATTGAATAATAAATTTTTTAATGTAGATTAAGAAAACCTCAGAAAGTGGAATAAAACCTCAGACATTTTTTACAAACAATAGGTAATTGTCTTTTATACTATCACTGGCAGACAGTTCACACTAAATTCAAGTACCTAGCCTGTCCCTAGTCTAAAACAGGTGATGCCAACTTTTACTGCTTAATTAAGCATGTCAAGCATTCAATAAAACAGGGTAAAAGGTGTTAAGACGAGTTCAATAGATTGTACTCATAAAGGAACAGGTTTATTTCAATAAGTGGTGAAATAGCCTGAAGGGGGGATATTCTCACTCATGTTAAAAAGTTTAATTGGTGGTCAGTAACCAAGGAAAACCTACTTATATTTCAGGTTTCCTCCCTCAATTTAATTTAGTGAAAGTATGTTTAAGGTTTTAACAATCTGGCTATTTAATAAATGAGAGATTTTAGGATGGTCAAATCAGATTCACACCATTGAACAGAATCTATAGAACTAAACAACTTTAAATGTATTGTTCTCAGATATGACGTACATTTTAGAATTGTAATGAAACACAAGTATAAAGTCATTTGTTTATAATAGGTAATAAATTGCAATTAAATTTTAAAATAATATGAATTTATCACCACAATTATTCAAATTAACACAAATTGCAATTACATTTTAAAATAATATGAATGTATCACTGCAATTATTAAAATCAGGCCCTTTACATATTTATAAATGGAACAGACTTGAACAAAAACTGATTTTGCCGAGAGAGAAAATATAACTTGTATAGTTGATAAATTAGACCTATAGTTATATCCTTTAAGTATGTGCACATGTTTGTAGGTTTCGTATACTACTGGTAATCATTCTAAAGTTATAGAGTTCGGGGATATAGGGGGACAAGTAATTTGTAGTTAAAGAAATCCAATCCTAGCTGGCTATATAATCTGTTAACATTCTGATATTATAAACAGATATCATCTATCTATTCTTTCACGGGTAAATACCTGACAAATTATAATCACTCAAACGGAACATAGATTCACAGTATATATAACCTAGCTTTAATATACTATAACATATACTTTAATCTTTAACTACATACAAACATAAACAGGCATTTATTGTACTTTCAATACCAAAAATACAACATAAGTAATGTGAACATTTCAAATAGGATAAGTACACTTATTACCTCAAAACATACAACTATCACAAATATACATATTAGTATTAATAGCAATATTTATATAGATCAAACTGATGAAAAACGAATGTTTTCAATGTTTCTGAATTATGAACAAAAAAAATACAAAATAAACTTACAATTGTTTTAACGATCCTAGACCATACAGCCAGCCTTTAGTAACATTGGTTATCTTATTATGATCCAATTGTCTGTAAAAAAAACAATTTCTATCTTATAATCATTCTTTCAAGCAAAAACACAAACTTTCCTGCCAAAATAATTTTTATAACCTTCAAAGTGAAATGAACTGAGTGAATAAAACTACATGTATGTTGTAATGATTAAAAAAATAGTTGGACTGCACTGATCTAGGTTACAACAACTCAGTGGTAAAAAGGCTCCACTAAATACAACCATTAAAACCAAATTGTCTTCTTATGAAAATTGAAATTCTTGACATAAATGAAGGTGCTAGGTATTAGACCGTCAAAAACCTTGTGTTAGTGTGCATGGGATTCCATACATTTTGAAAATTGTATTTACAATGTGGTTTAGGGCATTATAATTGAAACTGAATGTGAACCAGTACAATGGCTGCTTTCTGGACAATTCTGGATGTAATTGTCTTCAATTGGAACCAGCAGAAAAGCCCACAACGACACTAATTGGGCCCACAGTGACTTGTCTTATCACAGCACTACAAAAACTTGGCTAACAATGTAGTAGTTTAATATTGGGTCTAAAGAGCAAAAAAAAAAAGCTAGACAAGTAAAAAAAACAACTAGGTCATGAGTTAACTTTTTGATATTTATAAATATACTTACAGGTTTTGTATTTTTTGTAAACCCCAGAAGGCACCATCACATAATGATGATATAGAATTTCTTTTGAGTTTAAGAACTTGAAGGTTACTCAAGTCTTGAAATGTTAATCCATCTATAACTTTGATTTGATTCTTCATCAATTCCCTGGGGGAGAGAAATTTACATGTAAAGATGAATAATGTTTTGGTATTTATATCAACAATAACAACAGAATGTTTATCAATCTGGGAGTATAAATGAAGGTAGTAGAAGCTCGGATTACAATTTGAATGTCTTATTCCATTCTCTTTTTAGGTTTCAAATAAAATATTTTTAAACCAATTGAACAAAATAACAGTATATGAAGGAACTAAGGTATCGACTCCCTCCATTCTAATTATCTGCTATTAATAGTCTACCGAGAAAGAAATGTGTAGGATAATTGAAGATCAGGAAGTGATATAAGGTGTTCAAGTAGAAGAAACCATAATACCCAAGAATTACTAATTGAGCATTGTTTTTAATTACTACTTTTTACTATTGGATCGTTTTGGGGAATCAATTTAAAAGCCTAATCCTCATAAATATAGGTATTTTTTTTAAGTGAAGTGAATGTAATCAGTGAACAAATAGTTATACTGTGACTTCAATAAAACATTACAGAAATCATTTCTTTCCCTCTTTAGTTCCAACAGAATTATTTTTTCCGTGAATATAAGAAAACAATTTTATTTGGAAAGAAAAGTGTTTTTAAGATATCTAATCTTTCAGATCAGTCATGAGTATTTTTTACGACTGTGTAATCACATTAAATAAGATGAGCGATTAAATTATCAGACAACTTCAACACAATTTCATTCCCCAATCCAATCAAACATGAAATCATTTAACATTCAGTCAATTTTACAATTTCCTTTGATAAATATTAATCTTAGACTTAATAAAATGGAATGCTCCATGCCCAGTCATTAACAAGGCAAAATTGACTCTCTTGGTAATTGGCAAATGCTAATCGAGCAGCTTTGTAACGAAATCAATCAATCACTTCAATTACAAGCTGAAATAGGCCATAAGAGAATAAGAGAGAAAAAGAAACTTACAAGTTCTTGAGAGTAGTTAAATTGCCGAAAACACTCTTATTTAGCTCCATCAACTTGTTTTTGTTCATTTTCAACCATTCTATCGATGTTAAGTTGTCAAGGCAACCGTTTTCTAAACTAATGATGCGATTGTTATTCATGAACCTGGAATGAAAACCAAACCGTGATCAAAACACTTTCAATCTATGCATGCCTGTTTTGACAAGTGATATGAATTTCATCCATGGTGAATGATCATTGATTAAAATCCAATTTTTGTCCGGTTCAGGTTTTTGATATGGCTGGAGGAGGTTCTTTATCAAGACAGTGGAGATCTTGTTGAAATTGGTATAGGTTTCAAATGAGCACTTCACAAACTTAGTCGTGTATCAATCAATATTTCCATTCATATGACAAGTTCCATCACAAGTGAGATGTATTGATGAACACTATTACAGTCTATGGAAGCTGTGTTTAGATTGGAAATAACATCATCCCAAATATTACATTAATAAAATCACTTGTATCAATACAGTTTACCAATAAGTATCATTATGTCTTCAATAAGACAAATTATGAATTGTTAAAGAATATTCAAACACCATACTTACAGCTGTTGTATCTTGCATCCTTTAGGGAAAGTTTCAACAGGGATGTCCATGATTTGGTTGTAATTCAAATCCAAAGTTTTTAAATTGGGTAGACTTGCCATGGCCTCGGGTTTGATGGAAATGATACCATTATGGTTACTGAAACAGACAATCAATGATTCATAAGTTTTCTGTCCAAAATCCAAAATAACCAAAAGAATATCCAACTATTATATAAAATGTTAGAAAACAGATTAATGGCCTACATCATGTTGGTTCTTTTTTTTATTATTAATCGAGAACGACACCTTGAAGCACAAAGCAATATTATAAAATAGTTTTGTTGTAGCTTTCAAATAAATAAAAAAATGCAATTTGTCAAAGGGGACTATATTTCATGCTATCTGTCGATATAAATTATATTTTGATAAGACCATTTTGAAAAGGTGATAATCCTCCCGATAAGAAAGTTTGGATCATGTACATGATGTTAACTTTGATTAATATGACAGCATTAAAAAACTTTTAAAAGTCTGAATGTAAAGTAGTAGCGCATGACTTTGTTTGGAAAACTAGGGTCAATGGGCCAAACTCATTTATAAATTCTTACTGCAATACTTAGATTAAGAACAACACTGGAGACTTAAAGACTGGGTGATATTTGCATATGTATATACTGAATACTCGAAACAATCTAAGCAGATTTAGTTTATCTTAATCTCTGCTTATCCCAAACCCTTCAAATTCTGTCTGGGGGGATAGCACAAAAAAGAAATTGTTATTCAGTTAAAAGATATAAGGCAAAAAGGTGAATTTGTAATACTTACACATTTATAGTTTGCATACTTGAATTTTTGGGAAAAACAGGAAGCTCTGTTAATTTATTATAATTCATTTTTCTGAAATAAATAAATGAATCAAAGAATTTGAAGAGATAATTTTGATTGATAGAAGTCTGTCTTTCCGAACATAATATATCTTAGGCAATAGGCAAATAAATCACTCGTCATCATAACACTATTAGAAAAGAACTTTAGTTTTGAGTAGATCTCGTTTTTCTTGTGTGATAAAATCTAAGCGAGCGTTGTAAACACCAATGATCTGATCAGAAAGGGAGAAATTTGTTGATGGGAAATTTAGTGTAAAATCAATAATTAGTCATCCACTGGAAAGTTCTATTCAATAGCTTACATTTAAATCAGAAGAAAAAAAAACACATTATCACAAGTTGCTATTTATAACTTGATTTTATCTGCTACTTAATCAATAAGCAAATTTTCTATGTTTAGATACATGTATTTATCAATTTTGATATTTCTACAAATCCTTGTGGAATACAACACCAGCCATAGATTAATAATCATTCATCTTAATTCTGACACAGTCAATACTTTTCATTGTCCCATAAAATCAAAATGTTTACAATATACAAAATAGTTCATAAAATTTCCAAAAAAAAAATACTTACAATGTAATTAGATGTTGTAAATCATTGAAAACTGTATTGTTAATAAATTCTATATCATTACTGCTTAAATCTCTGTAAAATAGAAATAATAAATATAAGGGATCATAATGATGGGCAAGGTTATCAAGATCTATCTACATGTACATGTATGGTTTTGAATGACCCCCATACAGTGGGAATGTATATTATATTTGTAGGAATGTAAATGTATATTACATTTGTAGGAATGTAAATGTATATTACATGTATATTTGTAGGAATGTATATTTGTAGGAATGTATATTTGTAGGAATGTATATTTGTAGGAATGTAAATGTATATTACATGTACATTTGTAAGAATGTATAGGTACATTACATGTATATTTGTAGGAATCTATAGGTATATTACATGTATATTTGTAGGAATCTATAGGTATATTACATGTATATTTGTAGGAATCTATAGGTATATTACATGTATATTTGTAGGAAAGTATTGGTATATTACATGTATATTTGTAGAAATGTATTGGTATAATACATGTATATTTGTAGTAATGTACATTACATGCATAGGCTGTTCTAAAGCTTAAAATGAGCTTCATGTAGGTACATGTACATGTAACATTCAGTTCAGGATGAAACATTTATATTCTTATTTCAATACTTTTCATGCTTGTAGGGTTCTTAAACAGTGAGAGGAAGCCGGAGTATCCGAAGAAAACTTGAAAGATTATGCAGGCCATGCAACTCCTGGTTACATATAAACCTGGGATCAAACCCATCACACGTATTATCACAGACCTTTAATCATCCACAGTGCACATCTTTGACAACTTGTGTTGCAACGCACCCACTTCACAAAACTTAGAGGAAGTCTAACTATTCCTCCACACGTTTACAGTTACATGTACATGTAGTTGCAATACCTCATTATCATATCATACATGCAAATAAGTGAAATCCTTTGAACATAAATAGGACAATTAAATATACTATTAATTATGTTTAATTGGTGTCTTTATTTCATTAGTTATCATTTTCATTATGGGTAATTTAAAAATCAAACGGTTCAGTGAATCAAATCTTAATTTACATTTTGCTAATTACCCTAAACCATGCAAAAAGAAATATACATATTATATTGACAGGTGTTTGAAATCTACATGTAATACTTATTTTAATATCAGTCCACATTTGATCAGTCATTCAAAAACATTTAATACATCATATTTTAATCATGCCATACTAGATTCTCAGCATAGGATTAGAGTGATGCAGTAGAGTAATATTATGTCCAAAACTTTGAAGTTTATTGTCCCACCATTTATAATTGTGAAATTGGGTGGAGCGAAAATATTTTTTTAATATTATCCAATCCAACCACTTCTCCACACATCATTGAATTCATTTGGTAAAACCATTATGATTCAAAAGCTGTTTTTTACTTTCCCCTTAGTGAATGTTTTCATTATTTCTACCATAACACTGTGATAGTTTTTATAGTTCTGCGCTCACTACGATAATGAAAATATTTGATAAAAGCAAAGGGTACTTCAAAAGCTTTTTAGGTCAAAGCTATTCAATAGATTTTACCTATCACAATTAGTTGGATTTTTATCAAGAGTACAATATCATTGACTACAGTATACAGTTAGTACTACTGTAGGTATATGCTATACTTATTTATCTCATTTAAGATACGAACACCTGTGATCAAGAAATCTTACATACTTGATTCACCTTAAAATTTTGTTCTTAACTTCATCAAAGCTTTATTCTTGTGAAGCTTTATTCATTCTAAATAAATTTCCTAACAATGATTTGCATGGGAACATAATTAATAATGAACATGAACAACTCTTACATGTATTTATACTTTTAATGAACATTAATGATTACTATTTGTACTTTTAATAAACACTAATGACTACTATTTGTAATTTTAATGAACATGAACAACTCTTACATGTATTTGTATTTGAATGAATATTAGCAAATGTAATATTTATAATAAAAAATGTATTCAACAAATCCAAAAGTAAACTGCAATGACCTAATTTTTAACCACCAAACAGTAGAGTAATATTGTAACAATGAATCTCCATTCACTACCTTACTAGCACCTTTAAGAGACATGAAAGAGCTTTGAATCAACACAAATTATGTAAGTCAATCAACCTAAACAAACCAATACTGGACGCTACCATGCCAGCCAGCCTTATCTAAACATTAAGAGAGAAAGCGAGTGCAATGCAACTAAATTGGTCATAGTTTATTTGAACTTTAGACACACAAGGTAAAATAAACGGTCTTTAAATAGACAATCTAATTTCAGAGGTCCATTTTAAATCAATACAGAGATTTGCTAAATGGAATGGACAAGCCAAAATAAATAATGGACAAATTTTGTATATAAGCATGTAGGACACAACAATTACCCATTCAGACAGGTAAATGTGCATACAAACGCAAACTTATGAATATATACTGCTAATTAACCCCTAGAAAAATAAAAGCAATATCAAATACATCACATACCAAATAATCAAGATAATAATTTGCAGGTAATAAATTTTCTTTGATTATTAAAGGCAAACATGTGCAACATATCTTTCTGTTCAGGTATAAACTTTTATATGGACCCACTATGGTAAACGACAAGATGCAACTAGAAGCTTAAAGTAAAGAAGATGTGATTTGGTCTTTGCTTACAATTCAAAGTAAGACATTCTTGTAAATCTGTATTTACACAAGCAATGATAAGCATAGAAATTGTGTGAAAGAATTAGCTATCTGATACAAATAAAGGAAAATATCATGTCAACACATATTCATAACCCTATTAATTCACCAACACATTTCAGGGTTTATAAGAAGGAATTCAATTTCAAACCAAAGAGGCCAATAATATCATTTATTATACCGCCCCTGATCTCGGGTATCTGTCTTTGCAATTGATTTTATGAAACGGTGTAATCATATGGCTATTTTATAAGATAGTGGTGGGACAAAATAGAGTTTTGTCAGTTTTCAGCCTGGCACCTGGGATTGAAACCAATGTCAATACATTTCCTCTCCTCAAGAGGTTTCTATTATTCTTGCTAGCTTTTCACTCAGCCAAATCTTTCTTCTCCTCTAACCCAGATGTGCACCCATTTTCCATATAAACTTTGATCTGAGCCTTTGTTCTCTTTAGACCATAGCCTTCACTTCATTCTCAATAGCAGTATTTTAATGAGCTTGTTTTCATAGAGAATTCACCAATGTCATTGTAACAATTCATTCATACCAAAGCAAGTTTTTAATCATATGGCTGATTTTAAAAGAAAGCTGGTACTTCAAAATTCAGACATTGGTGTACAATCATGTACACAAGAAATTTATTCACAATCTATTGTAGAACTATTTCAAGTTGAACAAGTCACATGATAATATCAGCAACTTGTTCAATCTAGACACAATTTTCCTATTTGTTTTGATGCAATTCACTGTCATCACAATTTCGAAAATATCTAGCATACATGTAGTTATAAAGAGTCTGAATGTAAGTAACAGTGCATCAACAGATATGAAATCTGACATAGTTTATTCATATTCTAATATTCTGGGTTTTAAGTGGTCTCCGATGGCCAGATGTGATGACATCTATATGTATCTATATGTAGTCATTTAGATGTAACAAAAACTCAAGGTCCCCAGTATAGACTTGGTAGGTACATGTAAATACAAAGAACGTTGATTTCCAGAAGTTAAAGAATTACCATTGTTCGGTGGTGGTAAAGGGTTAATAACCATTTAAAAATGAATTGATGGAGTTAATGTACCCTACACAGTTGTTGTAATCTAGACCCTACTTCACCTAAATCATTTCCCATTATTTTGTTCTTCAGAGTTTGACAATGAATTGTACATGAATATGTAAACCTATCAAGTTTTTCCTCTCAAAAGGAACATGTGTAAATGTATGTCTGTAAGCAATGACAACTGATCTAATACCAAGACAGTATATGTAAAAGAGCTGATCCTGTTTGGAATTGTATTATGCTGATGTCCCTTCAAGGAAGGCTTAACGCCCAACTAATCTTCATGGTGATTATATTGTCTATTACATGTATTCAGAAATATCAGTCATACTTAGTCAAATGCATGTACAGTATCCAGAATTAAAATATTACTTACAGCAATTTTAAATTGGGTAATCCTTTAAAATCTCCAGGATTTAAAACCGTAATTCCATTGTTCTGAAGTTCTCTGCAAAGATAAAACAAGTACATGTATAAATAAAATTTGACTCCAACAATTGTAAATATATAATAAGTTTAATGTACATGTATCACCCATTATTTATAGAAACATGGCATATTAAAGCCTTGTAGACTGGGGCACCTTTCATGAACACAATTTGAGAATGGTACTGTACGTACTTTCGTTAGTTTCTAGAGTTTTACGTCCACTTCCCCTAAGGTGATATCGTACAAGCTGTACTGTTATTTATTCAAATATGATTTTCTGTCAAAGAACTATATAATTTAATCACATTATACAATGACTGCTAATGTTTGCATTTTAATCATACATTGTATTATCAATACAAAAATCAAATACTTATCATACAAATACATGTACAAGTTCAATTTATGTAAATATGCACACTTAAAATTGAAATTATTTGATGTGACATTTTCAGGCTTATTTTCCTTTGTGAACTAAATAACCTTGGCTTGCAATTGATTAATATATTCACACAAGATACCAAAAGTTACACTTGAATGTAATCTTTTTTGGATTCTCTTGTCAGACACATCGGGTTGGCGTGACACCTTCCACCTTTTAAACACACATCAAGAACTATACAGGGAGTGTGAGGGCCTTTATTTGAAGAAGGAACTGTGTACGAGTTCGAGTCACTTCTAATACCAACTAGTTAATCTACACTTCTTCTCTCGTCTGTGTGAAACCAACTCTACATGTATTTACTCAACCTGTGCTCAGGCTCTTTCAATTTAATTCACAGCTTTTTGTGGGGTTTTTTAACATCTCTTTCATTTCAAGCAAGTCAGATCATTTGGTTAACTTCGCCATATTATAATGGTATCATTTTTTTTTTTTAATGCATAAGAGTTTTGGGGTTTAAATCAGATACAAGAAACTGCTAATTTCAGCTTTTAATAAAAGTACCTTTATACACACATGATGTACATGTATAACCATGCACTACTTGGATATACACTGTATGTGCACATGCACCGTTATGATGCAGTGCTTACAATTTACAATGGCCATAGCAAACAGGGCTACATATACCTATACATGCATACTGGGGTCATAAACACTTTTAATTGTTTGAAAAAATATGAAATAAGTTGTAGTGTTGGAATGAATGTACTTCAATATACTGTTTCTTAAGGTAAAACAAATAAATAAATTACACTAAGTATATATATGTAAACAGACACATGCACTAACACAAATGATGAGATTAGTCTTGACGAATGACACTATTAGGTCAAACCATTAGCTATAATAATGTATATATGCAAGAATCGCCCAAACTGAATCAAATTATTTATTAACATGCCTTAAAGAAATCCAACTTGTATTTACTTAAGTAAGTTCACTTTGCACCAGATAATTTAGCATTGGAAATTATTCAAATACACAACTAGTCAATGCATATAAACTTTAATACACACGAATGTCAGATTTCCAGAATTAAAAACAAAAATTGGCACCGTCCCTTATGGTGAAATTATTTTCTAGTCAAACAGATGTGTTGGGCTTTCTGTTCTTTTGATTAGTGTTGCTTGCAAGAAATTAATAACAAATTAGCATCATCATCCCCATCGTTCTATTTTCACAGATGTTAATGATGATGATAGTAAAGCTTTGTGTGTAGGTTTCTTGATAAATTCAGGAGGAAAAAAAATCACAGCTTAAACTAAATTTTCATTACATTTGACAGTTTGAATATATTAAACATCTTTCTCCAGGGTGTATGGAGTTATTCTGTATAAACCTGTAGGAAGTCAAGATATTAAACATATGTGTTCTGAGGCCACATTAGTGTTTCATCCGAAAACTAAATACACTCTGTGAATGTGTGTTCCTTCAATGCTTGCTCCTGTGTTAACTTATTCAGGCTAAGAAACCAAACAGAGTCATAACTACTAAACCACATGGGCCATGAATGGTACTTGCATTATCTTTTCAAAATTAAACGTGGAAAACAACTTAAATAACTAACAGATACCCTATATCTGTTTACATTTTTTTTCATCTGATACTTGCTTGATATTTTCTTCGCAGTACATAATATATTAGAAAACTTGGTTTAACTGGCTTTCAGTAGGAACCATACAATGATGTATGTATAATGTAAGCTGACCAGTATACGAGAAAAATGAAATGGGGTTTAACGTCCTACTGCTCTGCTCCGACTGGGTTAATGAAGTCAGACATACACTTTACAGTGTGCTATGGGAGAAATTTTGTCTGGACAGCGGCATTATGAGAGAGACAGAGAAATGCGATTTAACATTCACTTAACTAAACTAGTTAATTTTGAGACTAACATGTGGTTCAATTATATTGCAATAATTTGCCTGTGCATGGTCTTTAGCAGTGGGAGGCAACTAAAGGTCCCAGGGAAAACCCATGAGGTTGGATAGGTGACCCCACTCCTTGTCACATACAAGCGGAGATTCAAAACATGTCACTTGACTCAATGACAGACCTCATTACATGTACATTTATATAAGTTGCACGCGTTAACCCATTCGGCCACCCAAACTCCCCAATAAGCTGTTATGAAAACATACATGTACATGTGTGTAATGTAAATCTACTAGACATGTTCAATAAAATAGTTCTAAGAAATGTTACTAACAGTTTTCACACCAATACAATTTCATATTTTAAAATGCCCTGACTGTGTTCAGGAATTTTTGATGGATATATTCATCATTGTAAAGGCAAGTGAGAGTCACATTTTATTCTTGCCAAAAGCTGAACAATTTTTGATAATTTTAATACAGATTCTGTACAAACATAACTTTAGATACATGTACATGTACCTGCCAATATGTCTAACATGTATGAATATTTCTGTTTTGTCAACATACAACTTCAGTTGGTAGCATTGTTTAGGACACACAAATTGTATGAATGTTAAAATGTATCTTTCGAAAGGAAAATCATTAACCTTTTGTTCAATATATATTTTTGAGGTGCTAGTGATGGAAACAACAAACAAAAAGCAAGGTCTTAATTCTGACATTGCTTGGTTGTCAATCCTCAAAATACATGCAGCCAACAAGATGGACTGGGAAAGAATCAAGACTTTTTGGAATAAACAATAGAGTATGGTGAAGAGCGTTCCTGATATGTTTTTTAACTGGGCAAAACAACGAAAACATACAAATGAATATTAATAATCCCAATGCAGGATAGAATCATTCCTAAATGCCTCTAAAAAACAACTTTATTTTCTACATTGTTTCGAATATCGTAAAATGTAGAGATGACATTTCTTGGTGACAATGTGATACCATATTTGTCTAGTTTATATCAATACATGTATGTGATTCACAAATTACATAAGTGAAGAATATACATAATTTATATTAATCAAATTAACAATTAAACACTACATGTAACTTGGTTAATTACATCTTCCAATTAATCAACCACTTCCATCATTTGAGTGTTGTTTACATGTACATTTATTTCTTACTTAAAGATTATTGGCCTTAAGCTGAGAAACCATGGAATATACTTTCAAATGACACCATACCCGTTAAAACAGTGTATCCCAAACTGCACAAAATAACAGGTTCAACACATATTATTTTGTTTCCAATAAGAACCAACAGTTTCTTATATTACTTAATAAACTGGAACCACTTTGAGATACATACACATTAAAAAATTTATCCTACTGTTTGCATATACATGAAATGAACAGATACCAATGGAATACCCTACTGTCAATGTCAGTATATGTTTTATAATGCCATAAATTGATAACACAGAAATATGCAAGTACAATATGTATGTTGCTGTTGTTCATTTTATGTCAATAAACTATTTTGCGAAACGTCATTTATATTGTCACAGGTTCCCGTTTATTCTACATATATTATGGTCATTCTACATACCGGTAATTGTTCATTATGTGCGTTCGAATTTTACATCACTGTTTTCTACAATTGTGAATGTTCTTAATTTTTGTATTCCTGGTGTGATTTATGTGTGGTATCTACATGAATTTAGACTGTATATGCGGTGCTGAATTTGTAATGATTCTTCATTTTTAATTTGTATACAGTGTTTACCCTCTTTTCTTAGTTCCTTCACATATACCTTCACACAAGCCATGTTCGACCATCGGGGTCATAATAATGGCAAACATGAACCCAACCAAAACATTATCCATTTCCGGTTAAAGGTACAGCAACAAACACATATTTTTCAGTGAAAGTTTGGCCTCACATTCGAGGAAATACCAATATCTGTCATGTATTTTACATTTTTTTCATTATACTGAATATTTATCTGCAGCAAAGACATATATTTCTTCAATTTTGAGTTGCTTATCACGACTGACATGCAGGCCTCTATTTACAACTGATTTGACCCCCTTATATTTTATGAGTAAAGTTTTTATACTTACAAAATCTCGACCCAGCTAGGTATATCTTTTGGCACTTCAATCAGCCCTCGTCTGCTACAGTCCACCATTTGTCCTAAACATGCACACGCTAAAGGACATGCGATTGAATTAGCAAACGTTCGATGAACAAGGTATACATCCCAAACAACAAAAGCCAGGCAGACGTATATAAACGCCGCCATGTTGGTTAGGGGCTTCGAGGCCCGAGCGCGGCACCTTGAAGGTTTGTAGCCGATATTTATCACCTCTTCCTTGAACCTTTCGAATGTTTCGATACCATTGTTAGTCCTATAATCCAAATATAAATCATATAACTGTTGTACTTATCATTAAATCTTCAACACAGATAAAGTGACGTTGTTCACTCACTTGGTTCATGTAATATGAGACTCACCTCCCACGTTTGGGGTGAATACATTCCTCAAAGGAAAATACTCGCCGCTGATAGGATAATCCAAGTCACGTGGAGCATAAATTAACACCCTAGGTTTGAAATGCAAAACAGATGATCACATGCGACAAATTGAACGCTAAACACGAGGAATGCTGATTTGATAACGTTTATTTGATCGTGAAAATCTTCTTATTTACTATAGCTACTTTTATATTTGGAAGGCGTAACTGTATGTCTTTCAAACTTCTTGTCCCTCCTCATGCCATGTCGATCATACTTTTTGGAAGAACGGTAAAAAGCCCAAAGAAGACCACATTAGCTAACACGATAATTATCGGGCAATTTAGATAGCATGATATGATCAACAAAAGAAACAGTTACTTTGGTGTGAAAATACTTATTAGCGCGATAAAATATGGTACTGCTGTAAGTTTCTCATCCACATAAACAAATCAGACGGATAAATCTGTTAATATATATATATATCTTCAAAGAAACATGTCGACCTGCCTTATCAGTAGTAATTTATATGTTCTTAATAAAGCTATTAATTATCTCGCTAAATTAATTAAGAAATTACCTCACCGAACGAATAATCAAAAAGATAACATACTGCTAAAATAATCAAAATTTTACTTTTACAGTGTGAACGTATTGTAACATTGTTTTTTTTTTTAAGTTACCGTTAATCCTCGAGATACGGGCATTATAGACCAATAACTTATGGGATATGTTGAAACGTTCTTTCATCAAACTATTTACCGTTAGTTTTTATTTTCGGGTTGATGCATGCCCAGAAAATTAAAGATATCTCTATGAGGTCTTTAAAAGGGTAAAATATTTATTCGGAAGGGATCGGTTATCCAGTGCATGATATTAAATCACTGTTTTTGTTTTACCGTTATTTCCCGAACCATGGACCTTATAATATTATAAGGTCCATGCCCGAACTAATAAAAAAATCACTTAATTTGATTATGCGTTTGTTGTTTGAAATGTATGTGTATGATGTGTCTTGTCCATGGGTTTGTCTTGTGTATTTGTTTATGTTTTATGTGTGGCGTGGTCCCTCTGCACTTACTATAAGAAGATTGTCATATTTATCAATCACTACCGAATGGATTACTTCAGAAATAGATAGTATTCTCATGCTATTTACAATTATTATTATTTTTTAAGGTTTGTTATGCATTTTCTATAATTTATATCATTTAATTCCATATCATAATTAAGAAATATATATAAGAAGTACAACGTTTAAAGAATCTATACTATTATTTGTGATGTCGTTGGTCTGTAATTTCGGGGTTGGCGGCTGCACTAGGGCTGTCCCGGGGTTTGGTGTATAGGGGTAGAAAGGACGGGGGAGTAACATAGGCTAGTTGGCGTTGGCCTACCACTTTCGGTATCGGAGTTAATGGAATAACCCGAGCAGCGCCGGGTTATCCGTTAGTTGCTTTTTACACAAGGAACAGAGAGGTATTCAAAACAAATTGGGTGGGTGCGGGAGGTCTTATCAGGAGCACACTTTTTTTGATAAATTGATAAACGTACGAAGCATGTGGTAGGACAAAACTAGTAATTATGTTCGCACACAAAATAATTATAAAATATTAATCTAGCAATGAATAGATGAACGATTGTTAGGACGTGTATATTTTTAATATTTCAACGTCAGAAATACGTAACTTTTTTCAAAATGGTTTCTTTTTAACGCTCTGATAATGGTATTATTTAAGTTATTTGCATGTGATAAAATTGTCAATCAACCTTGGACTATGAACAACAAACGTGTCAATATTATCTATAATTATATGTCATCACGTATTGCCTACACGAACACAGTTCATGTTAATTACTGTCCCTTAATCACAATTTGCTTACACCCAAATAATTGAAGGCTGAATTGTGTTTGTTACAAATAAACACTTCAGACGACGTAGTACATCGCGAGTTTAGGAAAACTGATTAACGGGCTGTAATTAATTTGCAACACGAACGTGCCATAATCGATCTTTAATTGTCGGTGACATCCGATTGATCTGTAACTGTTAGTACTTGACAGTGAACTTTTCTTTCTGACAAGGTATAGACATTATTTTCTTATTTTCTTTATATCCCTTAGACATTCTTGGATTTAGAAATATATTTAGCTCGGTTGTTTTTATGTTTTAAGTTCGGGACAACGGAAAGTGCAATTTAAAAATTTCCTCTTCGAAATTATTGATACTGTATTACCAAGATCTTTTATTTAATATCAAGCAGTTCCAAAGTTCTCAGTCATAAACATTTTAATTCTGAAAATGGAAAGATTTGAATAAAAATAAAAACTTTACCTAACCAATATCAGAACATCTACTTACGTGTTCAATAGTCATTCAGTGTGAATCATTCTGCTGGCATTTCCTTTTAATTCAACCTAAAACAATTTCACACATGATCGCATTCGAATGATAGAAATCCTAAGTAATTAGCCACACATCTATTTCTAAAATCTTTCAGTTAATTTTATTGTGAAATTAGACTTTAAGCGAGTTATCTGCATAGTAATCATCGTGTTATTTTAAACACAAACAATTTGATATCGTAACGGAATCTTGTGTGCCTCGTAGTTAAATTTGAGAGACGTCTCCGATGGAAGTGTGTCGCAGTTATAAAATTGTGACATGGTATTAGCTGGTAATTCTGCGGTGGCACTTGGCCCCGAGGTACCTTCATATAAAACCCATTAACCCTGGCTCGTTAAAATAGATTAAGCTAAAATAAGGCGTGACCGGAGTCTTGCATGGATAGTGTATGCTTAATCATTTAAGAACATCTGATGTCATTTTATATTGTTGAACTAACAAACTGTTCCTGTACTGAAAGCATAAATTGGTTCTTCCCGCGCGTCAAATGAAGAGTATAATGTATTTTAATATAATTATACATATTAGGTTTATATACAAGACAACATAAAGACAACTTTGGTCTAGAAACAAAATTTCGATAATATTAATTTTAAATTTTTTAAAAAGTAAACAATGTTAACTGAAACATTATGATTCCAAATAATTGAACCGTTATTCGTTTTAACTTATGTAGTTTTATGTTGGTAATAAACAGCTTTCAATGATTTTTAGCCAACCCCGGGTACTTAAATGGATTATATACACCTGTTTTACCTGTGTATATAATGTCTTAAAGCTTAAAAGGCTATACTTAACGGTATATGCATTCACTGGGGTATATAGAAAGGTATTATCCCTAATCAATTGTCCAACCTGATCTAGGTGTTAAAACCAAGGGTGATACAATAACACTATTAATCTTTTTTGTCTTAAGTGTGTGGTGGTCAGATTAATTAAAGGTGTTGGTAGCGGGGCTTCCATTTACAACAAGTCGGTAATCCTATTCACAAGAAACGTCAAATCGAATTTTATTTTTCTGTCCACACCTGATAAGTCTATAGGGTAAAACAACAGAATTCTATAGTCTAACTTTAGCGTTACTATTATTTATGCACAATAAATCTTCATATATTTTGTTTATTTTTTGTTAATGTATTTATAGGAATATTTACATATAAGTTTGGTGACATTTCATTGTAAACTGGTGGTAATAACCTATTTAACACACCTGCAGGGTAAACCGATATAAAGTATTATAATGGAACATTATATTATTATGTATATTTTTTTATTATAATTTAATCTGATTGTTATGCAAAGATTTAGTACCATTAAGGAATTGTCACCAAGAGAATGTCTAACGTCTTTATCTTATAATTCTATTCTACACGAAAACTTATCCGGGTGTAAAATATTAGAATCGCTCCAACAAAAATGACCTGAAGATGTTCAGTACGAACTAAAAACGCTAACTGTGTCTTGTGGGAGGAAACCGGGGGACACGGAGAAAAGTCACGAGGTTGGACAGGCGGCTCTACACATTGTCACATAAGCGGGGTATCGAAACCACGCCACTTGCCTCAATGAAGACCTTTTGATATAGAGACACACCGGCAAACACACCATACACACGCTATGAACCTGGCACTCTTGTTTTATTTAAAAAAAAGAAAATAGGAATGCAGGGGAACAAATATAGAACTTTTCGTTGCATAACGTTCTCTGAGATTATTTTTTTTCATTCACAAAGATCAAATGCGTCGTTTATAAGAGAAAGAATACCAGAATAAATTGTTTCTGAATAAATTAGTGACATAGCTAATACATATTTATAAGTAATACATATTGACATTCTATAAATGTGGTATTATTGATGGAATTGACCAATATATGGGTCGTTTATAATTACCATCATAATAAAATACTAGTCGGCACAATGACTCCATTTCTATAATCCGTGAAAATATTACGTGGGTTTTGTCACGGATCAACCTGAATTTCAAAAGAGTTTCAAAACTCAAAGACAACATTGTCTAAAAATAAATAACATGTTATATAAAACATTTCTTTTAAAGGACCATTATTTTATACTCATGCTGTGATTTTCAGATTTAAGGACATCTTCGCAAAACAGGGCTATTCAATATTTGTAATATCTGCATGATCTGCTGAACGCCTGGATGGTTAATGCTGAGTTCGAATCATGGCGTATTTAGGTAATTGAGATCTTCCGACGTTACAGTTCATATTACTTACAAACTTGAGTTTCGAAATAACTTTAGAGCTTGTTAAGGAGTCATTTTCAAGTGGGGGAACTCGCAATTACCATAAGTACGACATGATTCGAAATATGACATGGACACAGCATCTGTGTACCAATTCTGAAATCGTCATAACCAATCCTCATTAAAACCCACAATCTGAAAGCAGGGGCGTGCTGGCAGGGAACTTAGGAGGACGGTGTCCTCCCAGGCCCCCATTAAACAATAAGTCCACCCGTATAAGCGGGCCCCCCTTGAGAGCTCTAATTTTCACGCGGAATCCCCTCAAAAAATTGAGAGTGCGCACGCGAAAAATCATACATACACAACGATTAGTAAAATATATTATGCTGACGTGCAAATGTC